TGGGGCACTTGGTTGCACTTCATGCAGCAGCAGGGCTTGTTTTTCAGAAATTGGGGAACACAGGCCCTGGGGCTGGCATGGCCCCAGCTCCTGTCCTCACCTTCTTCCCTACTCAGTCCCCACAGCCTTGCTTGCTCAGCAGACACCTTGGAGCCCTGTGTGCAGGGAGAAGAGGCATGTGCCCATATAAAAATGGAGTATGTCACTTCTGCCATTGAGCTTCTACTCAACTTTAAAAATAGGGGGGAAAAAAGAGAAAGAAAGGCATTACAGGCTATTTCTGAGTGCCAAAAAGGGCAAGGTGCTGGTCCAGCTTTGAGATACCTCTTGAGGCACTCTGGGGACATCTTCCCTTGCTTCCTCCCATCCCCCCTGGCAGTGCCCTGCTTGCTGCCAGATAGCCCTGCCTGATTCCTCCAGACAGGGTGCAGAGAACATGCCCTCCTGGCTGCCACTCTTTCCCCCTGCCAGGCAGGATCAGCTCTGGGTGGGTGCCCAGGCTTACATCCTCCTGCTGCCCCAGTGATGCTCCGTGTTTTTTGAGCGGCACTGCCCTGTCTGCTCTGATTTCTTGTGCTGCCACAACTTGTCAGTGTGCTGTTTGGTACATCAACAAATCGACACTACACAAACAGAAGGCTAACAGGGAATGATTTATCCAGGACAACATATCTGTGTGTCCAGCAAAGCAAGATGTCCTGTAAACAAAATTCAGTATTTACTGAGGGCTCATCGGCAGAGCTGGTGTTTTGTACCACAGTTGAATTACACTTGGATCTCACTCTTTCTGTGTGTTGCTTGTTTAATCATAGGATGCTTTCCTTTTAATTAGGCACTGCTGCTACTGATGAGAGAATTAGCAGACTCTTCTTTTAATGGAGAAGCTGAGGCTGTGGCAGCTGTGCTGTAATGGGGGTGGTGGGCAGAGGCTTCGTGCTGCATAGAAACCCCAGGCTCTGCACCTCAGTTTCTGCTTCCTGAAAAATGTCGTTTTTAGGGTGGTCCTGGAAGGTTTTTTTCCCCCCACAATATATCATTTAGTCAAAGGAAGGATGTTACTCCCCCCAGCTGCTGTGTTGTGGCCCTCAGAGAGAAAATCTGAGTGATTTTGCCAGCTGTTTTCCTCCCAGCCCAGTGAGGATCCATGGAGCTGGTTGTGTGCCAGGAGTCAGTGAGTCTCTCAGGTACATCATGTCTAGAGCTGGTCGATAGTGTTTTGGTTAGACAGTTATCATCAGAAAATGGCAGTTTATCACATTTGAAGCTGTTTGTGGGAGAGGAGCAGTTTCAGTGGACTGGCCTCAAAAACCACCCAACTTTATTGGAATGTGTTGTCTGAGGTGTTTGAAATGTCCAGTTGGGGGACTAGCTCCCTAATGGTTCCCATTGGTTTCCCAATGGCAGTTGGGGAACAAAAAGTTCCATGTTCTTCTTCAAGCTGACTTTTATTTATGATTTTTTAATTTTGATTGATTTACAGTACAGAGAAAAGGGATAAATGAATGGGGAGTGAAATAGAGGGAAGAACCTCCAAGATTTTGTGCACTGTGTCCTAGTTTCCCAAGTTTGAAATTTTGAATTCTTATTTGGGATGGATTGATAATTTCAATTCCCATGGGAGAGAAAATCATGTTCCTGCTGTACTATAATGATGTCTCAGGAAAGAGGTCTCAGACTTACTTGTGATTTCTCTAGAGTAGAAGCGTCTTATAAAAAATCTTATTATCTTATACATCTGTGGCTGAATGAAAATCCCGTCACTGGCATTCTTAGAAGGGTCTGAATCCCTACAGCCTGGCTGAGATTCCCCGGGGCAGGATCATGATCACAGCCCCCCTCTCTTGGTACAAATAAATCCCAGTGGTGTCATGGCAGGGGTCCCCCATGGACCAGCTGCAGCTCTGTGTCCCTTGAAAGGGATGATGAGCTGCTTCAGGGGACTCATGAGCTGCCCTGGGGACCCCTGAGTGGGATTGAGGGTCTTGAGGGGATGCCCTGCTTCACAGATGGCTGTGAAATCCCCCAAGTAATTTGCATCACCCCATCTCAACTTTTTAGGGATGTGTAGTTTCCCGAGGCAAAATAACTCAGCGGATTTCAGCAGGTCAGAGTGGGATGTGCTTCCAGCAGATGCTCAACTTACCCACCCCAGCAGAGCTCCAGGCTGCTCTGGATCTTCTCTTCTCTTTTCCTGGATGGATGACATGGAAGTTTTCCCTTTCTCTTTCAATCCAGTTTGACCAATTAGTTTTTTGGATATTAATTCTCACCTCTGGTTCAGGAGTGCCCTCTCTTCATTTTTATTATGTCTGCCCAGTGTCTCAGATATTGAAAACTGTTTCCTGCAAGAGAAGTGGAAAAGAGTGTGTGGAGGAGGAGTAGGAGGGCAGGCAGCTTTTTTGGGGTGAAGTAATGGAAGGCAGGTACATTTTTTGCTGCTATGCCAGCACAGGTTGACCCATAGCCCTCACAAACCAGTGCCAGGGCTATTTGGGTGTTGGATATCTCCTGAGTTGGATGGTCTGGGAGGGAAATTTCATGGGCCAGAAGGGTCACAGCCCCTCCAGTGTGTGCTAAGGATCCTGGGAGAGTTGCAATGTAAGTGCTGCTCCCCCTCTGCCTTCCCACATCACCCAGCTATGCCCTGCCAGCACCTCCATCTGGATTTGCACATTCCAACATCTCTGACCAAAAAGTGCCCATGAAGTCTAAAGTTTCATTAATCCATGCTATTAATATGTCATTGCTTTCCAGGACCGTTGGATTTTCCATGTCAGCCCCCACGAGGAAGGGATGTTGTGACTGTGGGAGATGTTGGGTGAGGGGTTTAACTGGGTTGTGCCTGTGGCTCCAGTTGGATTTCACTGTACCACTGCAGAGGGGGAACAGAGGATGGGAATCAGTCTTCAGGGTCCAGGTTACTGGTGCTGATGGATGAGAAGGAAAGCTTCCAGGAACACATCTCCTTTCCAGCTGTATCACTGCAGTATCACTAATAACAGCACAGTCTGCCTCAGCACTGAGGCACTCATGAATGAGTTGGCATTTTTTTGTGAGTAATGTAGAATTGTAGCTATTTCAAATTGTCCTGAGGTGCAGCTTGACATATAAGTTCTTGGCCTATTTATTACCCCGTGTCTGAGTGTTCCCATAGGTATTACGGCATTAAACCATGGCTGAATTTAATATTGGGAGCTGCTGCGTTTGTATTTTAGCTGTAGATCAGTGGCAGGTGATTTGGGCTGTGTGCATGATGTTTTTGGCAAACTCTAGCCAAGGGATCTGTTCTTCAGCAAGGATGTTTGAGGTGTAAGTTGTGTTCAACACCCTCTTTTTTTAAGTTTTTTATTACATTTTCTTTTAAATGCTGCTGTTTCCTCCTTCGCTATCCTGTGTCATCACAAGCTCCTGCCAATATCCGTGCAGGGATATTATCTGTGAAAGTCCTCAGGGATTCACTACTATGTTGAGATAACATCACACCAATTTAGGTCCCCATCTACCCTCAAGCTGGGTTGGAGGAACTTGAGTTGCAAAGGCTGGACCTGGGTAGTTTAACCCTTGGAAACAAATATTTGAATGCTTCCATGGATTTATCTGTGGTTTTTGCCAGCATGTATTTATGAACCCCTTGGTCACTGTAGTTTTTTGAGGCTCTGAAGCGTGGTTGACCAAGTGTTGATCCTGCCCCTGAAGTCTCTACTCTTGTGGTTGCCATCAAGTCAGGATTGGGTCACCTCACCTACAGCCTGTGCTGTGATGTGGCAGCTCCTGGTCTGTCACAGGAAGTTTTTGGCTAGTCATGAATGTCTTTCATGTAAGTGGAAGGTGCTGCCAATGTGCATGTGTTGCACATTGTCTTCTGCTCATGGTGTGTGGCTGCTGTAAGCATGCACATCTGGCCATAACCCACCATGGTTATCGTCCAGGCATCTAAAGCCACATGGGTGGTTATAAGTGAGACCAGCCAGTGCCAAACTACCCCAGGGGAACCTAGCAGCCACTGTGTGTGAGGTGTGAGGTGAGCTGTGCCAGGCCACGGCCGTGCACCACCTTAGTGCTCCTGATGTGACCCCACCACCATCTGTCAGCAGGATGTCAGCTTCTGATTTTAATGAAGCCTTTCAGCAGAAACAAGCAGCTGCAACTGTGTCTTGGGGTTAAATGGGAGGAAGTGATCTTGTATGGTGATTCTGTCTTTGCCACTGACTGATCCCACACAGACTACACCACTGGGTTTTGTCTTCTGCCATATGTTTTCCAATAATGCCTGTCCACCTGTTGGGGAAACTGAAGCACTAGGCATCTGCAGGCATTGTTGGGAACCCTCTGTGAAACATGCTAAAAAAACATAAAAGGTATTAATTTATGTCTAAGACTACCAGGAGTCTGTTTGATAAGGTTTTGTGGTTTTTTCATATCTCTATTTTCGGATTGCCTGTCTGGAATGCCAGCATTGGGCCCTTCCTCAGTTGCAGATTTGGGGCCACCTGATAATGAGATTTCTTTTGAGTAATGAGATTTTTTTTTGAGCCATTCTGGTTATATCACCTCAGATCTCTGCTTTTGAAAAATCTTGGCTCAAATCTTTTGATGAGCTACTAAATAAAAAGACAAGCCCTAAAGGGATATTTATGTGAGAAAACGGCCTGACTTTCCCTTCTGCATAAGGAGAATCAGTGTGGGGGATGTCAAAACATTAAGCCTCAGTACATGCCACTTCTGTCTGAACCTCCTGAGGTGGTACTAAAGCTCTGATTAACGTGAAGTCCATGTCCAGATTTACCAGCTGAATTTACAATGGACTTCTAAACCTTAAACACTCTGAAAGTATTTTCCTTCCATCTCCTGGGCTTTGAGTGAGCTATTGCCGTTTTCTCACCACATCATTAGCATCAGTATTCTTGCACTTGTAGTACTGGGGCTTGTGTTTTCATGTGTGATTTTTGGATACGGAGCTGGCTGTTTGTTTTTTCAATTTCCTCATCTTCTTTCCCCAGCCGGAGGAACTTACCAATGCCCTTGAGATCAGCAACATCGTCTTCACAAGCCTCTTTGCCCTGGAGATGCTGTTGAAAGTCCTTGTTTATGGTCCTTTTGGCTACATTAAGAATCCATACAACATCTTTGATGGGATCATTGTGGTGATTAGGTACAAACCTTGAGCTTTCTTTATGTGTGCTTCTCCTCATTTGGGTGTTTAATTAAACAGAAAGTAATGGAGAGTTGGCATAAATACCTTCCTGTGACACTTTACACTTCTCTCTGTAATTAATGCACTTAGGCATGATTGCTAATACATATCTTGGGATTAGTTTATGGTCATTTTAGAAAGAGGCTCAAGCAGAAAGCTATCAGTCCCAATGTCCTGGGACAGTCTGGGATCCAAATGGCACAACCAGTGCCCGATGAAGTATCTCTGCTTTTTGGCACATGCAAAGGCTATAATTGCCCCTGCAGCTGCAGTCACTGATTTCTAGGCGTATTTTTGACATTCAAGTAGGGCTCTGCTCTTTGCAAGCCTGGACAGAGTCCAGATAACTGCAAGCATTGGCATCACATCTCTGCCCACTTTCTGTCTCTCTTCTCTCTGAATTTCACCTTCCCTTCCCTGCCCCTCCACTGGGCCTTTACAATTCGGCTTTGTCTGTCAACTTGCATTTACATTTTTTGTCCTCCTCAGCGTGTGGGAGATCGTGGGCCAGCAGGGCGGGGGGCTCTCAGTCCTGCGCACCTTTCGTCTTATGCGGGTGTTGAAGCTGGTCCGCTTCATGCCAGCACTGCAACGCCAGCTCGTCGTCCTCATGAAGACCATGGACAATGTGGCCACCTTCTGCATGTTGCTGATGCTCTTCATCTTCATCTTTAGGTGAGTGTTTCCAATTCCCTGTCCTGAGCTTGCTCTGGGTTTTTAGATGGGATCCCGTGGTGGGATGAGGAGGTGACAGAGTCTGTGCCAGAATATGGCTGAGCTGAATGGTCCCAGGAGCAGCATTGCTGGCTGTGGTTTGCTGCCCTAAATTCTCTCAGTCAGCCAGATGAGATTTCTTTGCAAAATGGTGTACAAAGAAGATCTTTCAGGCCAGATGATTCCTTGACATCTCCACAAGACAGCAATCCCGTTACTTACCAACTATCAGAAAGCTTGTTGATAAAAATATTGCCAAGAAGAGGATGATCCTAAAGGAATGTCATGGTGGTGCTTGTGCTTTTTCATGGCCTCGTCTTCAGACAAGTAGAAATGTTAGAAACACGGTTGGGGTAGCTCTGTATTTTTAGATTTTGGTCTCGATTTTGAGAAGAGTTGTTCTCTTTCTACAGCCAGCTGTGGTGTTTGAGCAATGCAGGCACTGGGAAGGCTGAAGAGAGACAGTCTCTTCCAGGGTATAATGTCCCTTCTTCCAGTGAGACTCCAAAACTGCCATTTGCAGGCGTGGTACTCAGTAGAGCTGTAAATAATTTGATTATTCAAGTTACTAGCAGAGAGCAGGGAAAAACAGATTATTCTTTTAGTATCTATCCATAATGAAAGGTATTCTGTTCTTCTGTCAAAATTGAAAAAGCTGTTTCGAGTCCCCTGATATGTCTTATTCAGGTATTTCACAGAAACCCTTTTTGTCTTCCTAATTCAGTTGAAGCATATTTTGATGAAAATGTGTCATTGCAAAACAGAAAGTCAAAACATTTTGTTTAGAAAATGTTGAAAGACAATGTTTTGACTTACAAAAAATGAAGCAGAAGAAAAACAAGGAGCAGGCATACTCTTTGGTTGAAACTCCTTGACAGATTTGACCTAAATTCACAACTGATTTGCGTGATCTCAAGGCATGTTTTTCAGCAAACAAAGGATCCATCTTTTTTAAAAAAGCATAAAAAGGAATTGCTCAGGTGAAATCAGGAGAGAGTCACCCTGCTGTATGATTACTGACTTGTGTGGTGGTCTTATTGTCGAGCCCCTGCTTCCTGTCATTTGCAGCATCCTGGGCATGCACCTCTTCGGCTGCAAGTTCGCTTCAGAGAGGGATGGTGACACGCTGCCTGACAGGAAGAACTTTGACTCCTTGCTCTGGGCCATCGTCACTGTTTTCCAGGTACAAAATGGAAAATACAACAACTGATGGGTGTTTTGAGACTGCAGAGATTGGGGTTGTTTTCCAGTGCACCCGAGAGAGCTTAGTGAAGCTCCATGCCATGGAAAGATGACCCAAAACCACAAGTGCAGGTTTATGGGAGCTTTCAGACTGTTTTCCAGACTAAATCAGAACCCTGGTGAGGAGAGGCTGCCAAGTCAGGAGGCTCTTGTGTTTGCAGGGTATGGACCGGGTGGGTGAAAGTAAATATAGAGGGAAGAGATGGAAAGGAGGAGATCAGGACCATTTGTAGTGGTATTTTGACAAATACTGGAATCTTATTTAAAGCTGATATGTGCAGGTTTTTGTTCTAGCAGCTCTGGGCCCTTTAACCCTAGGATCTGTGGAGGACTTTAAGTCATTCTGGCTGACCAAAGGAAAGGTCTGACCAGTGTGATGTTACCCTCCCTTATGGTTGTCCCTGGATATGGGGGACAGGGCAATTTGCACAAGGTCCTTGCTGGTGGTTGGGAATCTCTGGTTCTCTCTCTTCTCTGGCTCAGAAGGGATTTATCCTCTTGTGGTTACAGCTACAGTGGAAACCCTAAAAGCAGGATGCTTGTCTGGCCTATCCAGAGTGTGGATACCCAGTATGCTATCCTCCAGTATCTCCATAGTCCTGATACTCTTCCTCTGCAGATTTTGACGCAGGAAGACTGGAACAAAGTCCTTTACAATGGCATGGCCTCCACCTCATCCTGGGCTGCTCTCTACTTCATCGCTCTCATGACATTTGGGAATTATGTTCTCTTTAATCTGCTGGTGGCCATCCTGGTAGAGGGTTTCCAGACAGAGGTAATGTCCTCATGCTTGTGCCTTTGCTTTCTTTTCAAGTTTTAGGACCTCCAGATCCTGGAATCTGATTTCTGAGGTGGACAGCAATACCTTGACAGAAGTGGTATGGGAAAAAAGTGGGGCAAAATATTAGGTCTTCTTATTTTTTTACTTTTTTTTTGTTTCCGTAGCCATGGTGCAATTAAATACAGCAAACCCTCTAAATGAAGGGCTTAAATGAAAAGCATTGTTAGCATTAATGCAGAAGTGGGAATTGAGGTGTGAGTCAGGCACTGCGGATGGGATCACTGCTATGACAGTCTCTTTGAAACAGTTTTCGCTGTGTTTGTCATCCAGATTAAAGGCCCCTCCTGAAAACTTACACAGGCTGGTACGAGATTAGTGACACAATTATCTTTTTTCATGGTATGCATTCATGGAGCTCTTCCAATTTCCAGCCCTGCAATGCTCTGCGTATTTTAAAGTACATGATTTCTGGTCTCTGCCATCTGCTTTGTCGCAATGGGAGCTTCCACAAGACATCCTGCGTTGCTGGAGGCTTTGAGGGGGCATGTAGGCTCGAGCTCAACCTTTTTTTCCATCCTACTGCCAATCCAACTGTCCAGCTTGGTGTGGGTGTGCAGGGGTACACCTAGTATCCCTCAGAGTGGGGGACCTGTGATGCTCACCTGCTCCTTGCAGAAGTTTTCCAGCTGTTCAAGAACACCCATAAGGGGAGGGGACCCCTATACCCTGACTGGGGCATTGGTTGGAGGGGTAAATACAACCTAAAACTCCTCACTGGGGTCTGCTTATATGGGCTGTGCTTCTACACACTATCTCTGATTTTTTAAAGCATTCTGGGGTGAATAAATATTTGAGTTTTGTTGCATGTGTATTATGATATCCTGCAACCCTATGAACAGAACAGTTTTTATTATCATTATTATTTTTGAAGTTTGGAGTTAAATTAATGGAGTCATACCAGGACATAGCAAGAATAATTTTTTTCTTTTGTATCGTGTCTTTCTCTCCATGATGGTACTTTTGTTTTTTAATTGTTATTGTTGTAGCTGTTTCTGTCTGTAAATGTCCCCCACCATTCAGTCAAAGGGACAATGGGTTTCAGTCAAAGGGTTCTCTCAAAGAGCAAAATGTTCCTTTGCTCAGTCTCTCAAATACCAAAAATGTTCCCTTGCCCAAGTGAGAAGAGGTACAAAGCTCCTTGTCTGTTCCTGGTGACAGCTTCGAAACCCAAACTTTGTTCAGTCTGGCAAATTGATCTTTGAAGGTCACCAGCACAGGAGATCACCTGAATCTCTGCACCTACTATGCAGAGAAAGGGATACAGCCTTTAAATGCAACAGCCCATTTGCCAGCCCCTGGCCCTTAAGGGAGGCTGACTCCTCTGCTCCTTGGCTCAATCTGGTTTACCATGCAGGAGCATGCTCCTGCTCCACCACTGCAGCATGATTCTTTCTGGGCAGCAAATTATCCCTTGCCTTGTGGCCAGCTGTGCCATGGTGCAAATCCCTGTAAAGTCATGTTCTAGCTTAATGCGTTGTGGTTTTATTCCAGTAATGATGTCCTTGAGGGTATGGCTACCCTGGAGGCACTTCCCTGGAGTCAGGGAAGTGCCTGCAGCACTCCTCAAATTTGCTCTTGGCTGTTTTCTGCAGCAGGGCTGCCCCATCAATTGCCCCCATGTCTCCACTGCCAGAGCAGCACTGGGCTTGTCCAAGCCAGCTCCAGGATATCTGTGTAAGCTGAAATGTGTTGTGTAAATGAGGGAGGAACCTTGGATTTGGGACAGCACCAGGACAGCCTGAAGACAGTGATGCCCATGCCAGTACTGAGGCAAGCATAGGGACCAGGAACCAGTGCAGCCCCCAAATACCAAACCCGGATTGTCAGTTCTGCTCTGCCCTGATAATTTTAACAAACTCACACCATATATCTATAATTTGTCACTCTGATTATATTGCTATTTTATATCTCCGGCTTTAATGATAGCTTTTTAATAATAATCTTCCTTCCACATCCTTGTTATTCTGAGTTCTCTACATTCATCCAGTAAGGTGCAATGGCGCCAAGAGAGCCCTTGGCTCAACCCAGGTTTCCTGCAGCAGACTGGGAGCGAATGTCTCTGGAGGTCAGGCCCCAGTCTGGCCTTGCTGGTTTATGTTTATTCAGCTTTGCTGGTGTGTAGCTTTGTGAACAGATCACATTCTGGTTTTTGCAAGCCAGCACAGAGGATCCTCTCCTAAGCAGAATTAATAGAGATCATCTCTCGCTGTAAACAAACCCCAGCGTCTACTGCCCGTGTCTGCACTTGACTCTTCTGAGTTGAGTTTGTTGGTTTTTTTTTCCACATTCTCCTTCAGATTTCTGGGCTGAAACACAAGCCTGGGGCTGCTGCCTTTATCTCCCTGGTCCTTGAGTACCTTTCCTCAATCCACAAGCACGTCGTTAATTTTAGTGCATGGCTTTGCAGCCCCAGTTGCCAGGCAGCAGATGACTATAAGCAGCTGAAAAACTAAAAGGGCCTCTTCCAAACTTTAAATACAGAGCAATATATTTTGCAGGATTGAGGTGGAAGGGGTTTTCCCCCCATTTTTTCCTTTAATTTGGAATTGATTCCTTTAATTTGGAATGTTTCATTTAACCAGCTTCTCTCATGACTGTGCAAAAGGCACAGGCAGGACTTTTTGCCATGTGGTTATTTTTGACTGCACATTCCCTGACTGAATTGGACCCTGGTGTTGATGCGGGGAAGGTGAGCAGTGGACTCCGTTTGATTGAGCTGCTAACTGGAAATTACTGCGTGACCACTCTGGTGCCTGCCTTGGAGACTTCTCTCTGAAGCAAGGAATGACTCCTCTTAGTCAGGCATAAAGCTCCTCTCCTGAGGGAATTCTTAATAGTGTTATCTCCAAGGTGTATTCTTCCATTGGTAATCCTCCCAGTTTGTGTCCTGTTGTGCCCATCTGTCCTCACTCGTGGGTTTGATCCTTTCTGTCCTTTGTGGCCTGCTCTCTCCCCAGCCTCTCCATCCTGCAGGATGCTACTTGCTCTCTAGAGGTAGCATCCTTGGGGAAATACAGATGTTCAACTTCTTCTGAGCTTTCACCAAAGGGAACAGTCCCTCCTCCTGCAGGGGAGATTTTGGATGGTGTTTTTCTTGCACCCCATGCCTATTGCATTCCTATGAGCTTCAGTGGGATTTTCCTTGTGAAAGGAAAATTTCCATCTTTTCCCTTTCAATGGCTTTTCCATGTCTCTCTCTGTTACAAGCAAAGACTTTAAGTTAAGTGTCCATCACATTGCAGGCAAGTCCTTAAACTCTTCATTCCAGCCTAGGCTGGGATGAGTTTTGTAACAATTTAGCAATCAGAAAAAAGATCCATTGCTGTGTAGGCAAGAAATTCAGCTGGTGGGATAAATTGTGCCCTACTGCTTCAGCATGGAACCTCTTGTTGCCCTATGGGACAGGACCAGGCACTGCCACACTGCTGAAAAATGCTGAGGAATACTGAGAGAGCCACCCCTGAGCAAGGGGAAACACAACAAGGTGAAAAATGATGTCAGTCTTCCAAATGGGCAGGGAAAGGTGGCTTCTGGTGCTGTGAAATGTTGGGGTCATGGGTGTTGCAAAATTTCCCAGGATGGGGCTGTGCCCCCCTGGCTGCAGACCTCTGATTTAAACTGCTGGTTCAAATGGGTGTTTCCACTAACAGGACTGAGCATGGATCTGAACTCACAGCAGACTGTGTCTCTCCTGAAACTAGGTATTTCACCTGCAAGAGCACTGATATTATGTTAATCAAACATTCATTAAAAGCCTCCATTGCTGCTTAATGAAGGCGTAATAAATAAAGATGCTATTATACAGCTGCAAAAAAAATCATGTTTTCAATAATTAGCTGGTGTTTCATTAGCACAATTATCACTTAGGAGCTGAAGCAAGCTCTGTTCTAAACACTTAATTTAAAGGGTGTAAGGCTAGTCCCTTCAAAGGGCTTCTTTCTACCTTAGATCCCACTCTCTCCCTGTGCTGAGTGGAATGGATCCAGTGCCTGGCTCTCCATTGTAGCCACACACTGCCCTCCTCCCCCTTCCCCTCTGCTTCCCTGCCTCTTCTCCTGTGTTTTTTGATTCCCCACTCAGTCCTGCTGTTGAAACTGAAAATTGAACCCCACCTTCCCCTTCCTCCCTCTTCCTTCCCCCCATTTCTCCTTCAGGAGATCTCCAAGCGAGAAGAAGCGAGTGGGCAGTTAAGCTGTATTCAGCTGCCTGTCGACTCGTCGGGGGTACGTACAGCACATCCCACCGCCACTGTGCTTGTCTCTCTTGTGGTGCCTGGTCACACACTGTGGTGCTGTTCTCATAGTAGCTGTCATTCTTTTGGGGTCTATTTGAGTGTTTTGGAAGTGGTTTTTTTTGGGTTTTTTGTTCCTTTTTGTCACCCTCATTGTTGAGTCAGCCCTGATTTTAAGTCCCTTCCTTCTCTGAGGGACCCAGGTAAATTAAGGTGGGTGCTTTGAAGTGGCTGATGTGGCTCCAGCCAAGAGGTCCCGTTGACCCCTTTCTGGATGCCTGCCCTGGGGAAGGCTCCCCAAGAGACTGTCACAGCCTCTCCATGGCACAGTCACATCCCAGGGACCTCCCTGAGGATGTGGATGGTGTTGCTGATTGCAGGGCATGCGTGCCGAGGCTCCCTCATGCAGGTGGGGGAGGATGCCTAGGAGTGAAGGGACCTGGAATCAAACCTGTTTTGATAGGTGTGTGTGTTGATGTGTGTGTGGGAGTCCTGTGCTCTGCAGGACAGGGTAAGACAGCAGCAGTTGCACTGTGGGAATGCTGAGATTGCCAGCACAGTGCTACATTACAGGATGTGAAATGATCCTGTTCAGGTCCGAGGAAGCTGTGGATCTCTGAAGCACAGCACACCACAAACCTCACCCTTCTGCCAAACTCATCTCTCTTTTTACCACTCACTTCCCTTTCTTTTGTCTTTTCCAAGAAGCCTGGCTTTTTCCTCAGCCCAAAAGCCCTTTCCCCTTGTATCCCAGTGTGTCAGTCCCTTTTGGTACAAGCTGGTTTAGCTGTCATACTGCCTGGCCCAGCTTGACATTATCTCATTTCCCAAAAGGATTTTAACTCCCTGTTCTCTCATAACCCCTTTTCTATCCAGAAAGGCAAACTGGGAGTGCAAGAACAGGTAACGGGCAGCAGCACCAGCTGTGAGATGTTTGCCTGCACCGTCCCGAGTCTGGCACGTGATGTTTGGGAGGGGATGCTCACTGCCCTCCAGACATGGGGTTTGGTGCTGGGGAAGGGGGTGGGAAATCGCCACATAGCTCTGCTTTTCCGTCTTGGCACACATCTCATTGTGCCCCCTTAAAACTTTCCTTAGGGCTGTTGAAGAGCACTCCAGGAATACAAATAATGTGAAATTCTTCCCAGTATTTATTTATTTTTAATAACCCATCAGGGAGAATGAGTAATTCCTGGCAGGCCTGCTGACAGGCTGAGCTGGGAGCCTCTGTGGGGAGCATACCTGGAGCCAGCTGGAGCCCCTGCTCACACAGAGACTGGATCTGGCTCCAGCAAAGCTCAAGCCAGGCTGACTTTACTGCTCCCCCTTGCAAGGTGCATTCCTGACCTTCTCAGACTGCATCCTGCAGGAGGAGCTTCCCTGAAAAGCACAAAAGTCCTGAATCCTTAGGGTATTTTTGAGCCAACACTTCATGTCACACTCTCTTTTGCCTTAAAAATATCTTTGAGTGTCCAGCCTGCCTGGAAAAAATATCTTTAATAGTTTAGTGGCCCCACACTAAATATGGGAGGAGTATTGGGGCTCATCCCTCTGGGGTGCTACTTAATAATGAGGTATGGGGCACTGACATGTGTTGGATTCATCTCTTCCTTCTGTCCCAGGCTGGGGTCCTTCTGAGATTTTGCAATCCATGGGTACCCTAGCACCAAACCTCAGCAGTGCTGGCCAGGGCTCCTGTGGACGCAGCTTAGCCTTGGTGGGGTTTTCTGGGGCTCCTGGGCTCTCCCTGCTGAAGTGAGGATCTGCTTGGCTTTTCCCATCCCAGCATCTTCCCCCACCTTCCCACCTCTTCTCCATTGTGTCAGGGCTTGGTGCCCTTTGCCAGAGCAGTGGTTTCAGCCATGAATCCTCCTCTTTTTGGATGGCTATCAGTCCTTCTGGCAAGCACCTCTGCCCCTCTTAGGTGTATGCTAACTATACCACACCCTAAGTGCCTTTTTGCAGTGCCAATGGACAGAATCAGGGTCTGTGCCACAAGACGGAGCAAGAACCCAGGCACCACTCAGAGAACAATGATCAACATCATCTTCCTCTACCTGAGGATGGGTACCTGTCAGAGGAGACAGGCCTCGCTCAACCACCAATGTTTGAAATGATACAGCAGAACTTAAACTTCCCAAATGATCCAGCATAAATCCCCAAAACTCCTGCTCCTCTTGTGTGTGGCAGCTGGGAGGGAAAGGGTCCCTCATGGCAGTCGATGTTGGGTTCTGCCACCTGGATCCTCTCTATGCTGATGGGGCGTCCATGGACACGTCATGTTTTTCATGTTGGGAGTTTGGGGTCTGTTGTGCCCTTTCTGAACCCTGGATTGCTCCAGCAAAGCATCACTGGAAAGAGCCACACCCAGAGACTTTTAGGTGTATAAATTCAGAGAGATTAGTAGGATCATCTTCTGTCCGCAAATTGTTCATCAATATTGGTCCTTCCCTGACATCTGCCACATACACAATTCCAGCATAAAAAATTAAGCAATAGTTTGGTTTTTCTCCTGATCCCTTTCTGGGACCGTGTTCAGAGCCAGAGGCAATCCATCTTCCTGATAGGAGGTTAATTAGTCTGTGGTATAAACCTGTGCATGCATCATTTTGTGGAAGGTGATGTTGCATCGTGGTACCAAGTTCAGTGGATCTGTAAGGTGTGGTGTTGGACACGGGAATCCATATTTGCAGAGGGCTGTCTGTGCACTGTGGCCCCTCAGCTTCCTTGCTGAAGCCTTCTGTTTTGCTCCAGGGTGATGCTTCCAAGTCTGATTCCGAGGGGGATCTCTTCCCCCACAGCCTGGAAGAGGAGGGAGAACCTAAGAAAAACTTGTCAAATCCAGCCTGTGAGTAATAACCCTGGAAGGACAGGGCCTTCCACAGAAACCTTGCTTTGCCATGAAAACAGTGTGTCCAAAAGGAAAAACCCCTCCTGGAGGGAATGCTGTAGTCCCAGTTGTGTCATGCTTGACTTTGCAGCAGGCTTGGGGTGGGATTGTGGGATGCAGGCAGGGAGAGACATGATTGCATTTGAACTGTTAATTTCCCCATTAAGCCCGAGGACTGGGCTTGAGGGGTGTCTCTGCTGGAGGAGTTTGGAGAAAGAGGATGGAGGGGGTGGGCAGGAGGTTCCCAGGGCTGGAGTTGGTGGGTGTTAATTGGCGGTTGAGGGGGCAGCAGGTGACATTTTGGGTGTGCTGTCCTCTACCATTGTTACCTGATCCCATTGACACCTGATCCCATTCCTGTTTGACATCCCCCTGCTGGGCTGAACGACCCAATTCTCCAGAAGGGCTTTTAGGCCGATATCTCCCTGATGCTCAGAGCAGAGCCTTCCCTGCGCATCAGCTTTGCCTGCCCACGAGCAGGCTGTAGGTGTTCCCCCTTGAGGTGTGACGCCTAAAAACCCGCTTGTGTCTTCCAGCGATGGCCCTGAGCGACCACCCGGAGCTGAAGAAGAGCCTGACCCCGCCGCTCATCATCCATACGGCCGCCACGCCCATGCCCATGCCCAAGAGCGCCGCGTTCGGGGACGCGGCGCAGGGCTACGAGTCCCGCCGGGCCAGCGGCGTCTCCATGGACCCCGCTGCCGCCCATGAGCTCAAGTCCCCGGTACTCGCATCACCTCCCCCTGCGGATGTTCAGCGCGTCCGTGGGGCTATCCGTCCATCCAGCCGGCCCCGCCGGCCTGGGGCGGGTGGCACAGATCTGATGCGCTCCCTGTCGCTGTCCTTCCCACAGCCCAGCACCCGCAGCTCCCCGCACAGCCCCTGGCGTGCCAGCAGCTCCTGGAACAGCCGCCGCTCCAGCTGGAACAGCATCGGCCGGGCCCCCAGCCTCAAGCGCCGGGGTCAGAGCGGCGAGCGGAGGTCCCTCCTGTCCGGGGAGGGGAAGGAGAGCTCGGAGGAAGGGGACAGCTCGGATGAGGAGCACTCTAGCCGGGCCGGCAGCTTCAATGGCTCTTTGCCTCACCGCATGGAGTCGCTGGAAACGAAAGGGTCCTTTGACCTCCAGGATACTCTGCAGGTGCCTTCCCTGTATCGGACCAGCAGTATGCACAGCACCAGAACGTCTGTCTCTGAGCACCAGGACTGCAATGGGAGGACCTCTCCAGGTCTGCTGCTGCACCAGCTCCACCTTGATGAGCCCCACCAGGATGGTGATGACGGCGATGATGAAGGTAGCATGGTAAGGAAGTGTCACGTGCTCATTTTGGGCTTTATGACTTGTCAAAACAAAGCTTGTCACTGTCTCAGGGGTGCACAAGTGAGTGCAAAAGATATTAGGTCTCACCATCACCACGAGACCAGACAAGAGTCACCCAGAAGGTCTCTAGGCAGTGGATGCTCTCAGAAATGGGATTGGTATCTAAGTATTACATGCAGTATCAGATGGCTTATGATGGAGACATAAGGGCAAAACTGTCCAGATTCCACTAAATCATGCACAGTGAAGGCTGTTTGAAATATATGCCTTTACGGGTTAGTTTTTGTTTGTTTTTGTTTTTTTTTTTTTAAAGCAAAACAGGTAAGTCTCCCTGCTTTCCAACTGTTATTCAGTTTTCTGCCCCCACACCAGCAGCAGAAAACTTCTATAGGCAAAGAAAGAGCATGGCTTGGTCCCCCACTCCCATGGCAGAATTAGTGCCATGGAGATGGTGGTAATTTCAGAGGCTCTGCATTAATTTCCATCTGAAGAGGCATTTCACTGACAAGTGTCTCTTTCACAGGCCTGAAAATTGTCATTTAGGAAATATAAGCTGAAAAGACTGCAAATGCAGGGAAGGGATCAGGGTTCCTAGTCCTTTTTTCAGATGGATGTTTGTATCTTAAATGGAAAAAAGGGGAATCTGGCTGCTTTTCCAAAGCTGTTTTCCTGACTGGCAGAATGGGGCTTGAGTTGGGCACAAGGGTGTCACAGTTCTGGCTATCATATGTGCATTGGGGCCAGTTTTGGAGTGTTCCCTGCTTGTCCCACGTTATCTCTTTCTTTGATTATACCTTGTTCCCAGATTTAAAAGTGTGATGGTCTGATGTGTCATCCCCAGGGGTGCCTGTTTCTTTTGGGGGAGTAGATGAGGTTTGGGTAGAGACGTGATGGTAGCAGGGGCTGTTCAGGGAACAGGAAAGCTGCAGATTTGGACATGATTTTACTCTTTTTCTCTGACTTTATTGAATGAAATTGGAATTGGGATCATGTGAAGGGGTGTGAAAGGTGGCATTGACTCCAGAGTCCTCTGTTCCTTACAGGAGGAGAAGGAGAGTTAGTGCTGGCAGAATGGAGTCACTCAGCCGTGAACTGCCTTTGCAAAAAGCCATTATCCCATTACATCTCCAGCGTGGATCCTCAGCCTGGATTTTTACTCATTGTCTTAACCTGCTTTTTACTTCCATAAAATAAATTGAATTTTTAAGAAAAGGAGCAGTAATTATTTTTGGAAAATGCCCCACTATTAGGAGTGTTGAAGAGACCATGCTCCTTATTGCTTGCTAGGGATTTTTTTTTTCTCATGCTCCAACATCTGCTACTTTTCTAGCTCACCTGGTCCAATTATCCCACCAGTCCCTTCCTTCCCCCCCCCACCCAGGATCAAAAGCCAGCAATCCCCCTTGTGCTGGGCATGGTGTGATGAGATGTGTCCCTCCTCTCCCAGCCAGTGCTGACAATGAACCGTTGAATAAGATTTTTAATTTTTATCATCTGTTTTTAGCATAAACCAAACATCATCCTCTGTGTACTGAGGTCTGGCCATGGAGGGTATAATCACCTTAATATCCTCCCATGTAATGGTCAGAAGCAAATGCCAAGGGGAAGAATTGTCAGAATAAGGGAAATAAATTGTGTCCTAGCCCATGGGATAGCCACAACTGGGATACCTGCAGCTAGCTGGTGCCTTTCCCATGCTCTGAAATATATCTTCCCTGCAAATCAGTAAACCAGATGGATGAGAAGATATTGCTTAGATTAGAAAAACAAGTCCCCAGGTTGCAGGGCTTCCCTCCTGACATTTGGGGAGAAACTCTGCTCGTAAATTAGCTTAACAAAGTTGGGGGATGGGGGAATTGCATTTAAATTGAAAAAATGAAATACAAAACTACCCATGAACAAAAGAGGAGAAGAACTTGACTATTACTCAGATCAAAGTAATCCTAAATATGCCCTTCTACATCAAAGCTTTGCATCCCTCCTTACTGCCTGGATTTGATTGTCTCTGTGCAGAAATTAAAGGAAGAGCAAAGGCTTCATCTGGATTTCCCAGGCTACCCTTATATTAGTGAAGCTCTGCTGCCTTCGATGAATTTCTTTATTTCTTCGATGATTTTCTTTATTCTGAATTTCCGTCCCTCTGAGGGGATAAAATCAGGCCCCTGACAGCTTCTCTCCTCAGAACTAGGAAACCAAGCGGCCGTTCTTTATTGCGTCACTGCAGACAAGAAGTCTCTCACAGAGAGAGTGATCCACAGTTTTCTTGGGTTCACATGGCTGTGACCAGGATCAGGGGTCTGCTGCCAAGTCATTGTTGTTTCCACCTGCTGGATTTTAGATGCTTTTGGGTGCTTTCTACCAAAATTGCTCAGTGCTCACAGCTGAAAGTAAGGAAAATATTGAATATACAACCAATGTGTCCCCTCCTTTCCAAAACCTCACTGCATTTTACTATTGCAGCTCCCTTTCCTTTGCCTATTCCACTTTTTACTTTGTGGTATATGGTCCAGCCTCTCCCAAGCCCTCTCAGCCTGTCCCTGTTGCATATTAAAATTAAATAATCGGGTCTTAAGCATCTCTGTGCAGCTTCCAGCTTGCCTGGAGGTCCTCTGCTGCTCACAGAGCATTTTTCAGCAGTTCCCCCATCCTTATAATAAATCTTTTATAAATCTAAACCTCGCCCTTTCTCTGAGGAGTGCATCAGTCATCTTTTATTGCCAACTGCTTTCATCCTACCCTCAGAAGTGCATTAATATCTGAAATTCCTAAAAATAATCAAAATGTTAAAAGCAGCTATTTATCAACAGTTCTCATTGCTGTGGGATTGAAGGCCTTCATCCCACTGCTGCCTGTTAGCACCCAGCATCTTCCAACATCTTGGCTCCTGCTGCCTCTAGTGAGGGATTTGGGTGGGCTTACCCAGGGAGATTTTGTCCAAGTCACTGGCAACTGAATTAAAGATTAGTTTTCTTCTCCCCCCACATCTTTGTTCATCCTGTCCAGGTGTGGTTTATGAACAAATAGATGTGATTTAAGCCACATAATTGATATCTTACTTTGAACATAATGCAGGCTTGAACAGCAATCAGCCCCATTGTCAACACTTGGAGCCTGCCTCGACCTTGCTGGGAAAGCCTTGGACGGGCTGAGGCTGGAAACACTCTGGGTTTATTTCACAAATACCTTACTTTTGGCTCAAGTTAACTGACCTGTGCTGTTCCACTGGTGGAAATATGGAGTAATTCCTCTGAGTTTAGGTTTCTGGGGATGTACTTCACCCTGCTTAGAGCAGCTGGGCTGCAGCCCCAGTTGAGTCCTGGTGCTCACCCTTACTGTAACCCTCTGAATAGAGAGACACAATGGGAGATCACTTTTTGCCTTTGTTATCTGATTTATCCCATTAACTGCAAGCTGCAACAATTAGCCAACCCCCAAAATATCTTTGGCATTAAAATTGGACAAAAAGAATATAAAGAATCATTCTGTGCTGCTGACGCATTACCATTCACTACAAATCCTCTTGATAAATACCAGAACTGCTTTGAATAATAGATTGGAAACCTTCTGGAATACTTCTGGAAACCTTCCAGCTCACAAAATGAACTGGACTGAGTCGTAGCTATTACTCCATGTCCAGAGGCTAGGGTAGCAATCACTGCTCTCACCACAGCTTTGAGCAGACACCTGATTTTTATCCATTTATTTACCTTTGTTAAATCTATGGATAATTAGACTAACCAGGCTGCTTAAAGGGATAACACAACCCCAAGGATGCATGCTCTATTAAATACAGTTTAGAGACAAGGGAGCAGTTCTGGCTCTTTGCCTGAAGCTGGAATAGGGATGTGAGAACATCCAAGACAACCAAAACCCCGTTGGTGTGTAGTGCATGGTCTGTGTGTGTAGAAGTTGAGGGAAGAATGGATGGCTGAAGGAGCAGGGTAGAAAGCTCTAACTTTTTGTTATTAAAACTTTTCTTCTTATTTGCCAAGGTGATTTTCATTTTCTGAAGGGTTCAGTTTGTCACTAAGGGCTTTCATTAAAACAGGTACCACACCAATTATTCTCCGTCACTAATGAGACCCCAGTCTGGGTGTCTGTAGGAAGAGAAAGCACTTCCTCCACTCCGCTCAATTACTCTAACAAATCCCATTTTTACAGTCAAGAGTACTTCAAGTGCCAACAGTTTGTCTCAAAATGAATCTGCCCTCCCTGTTTCCTAGATGAAATAAGTAAAAGTACCTTAGTCCTGGAGTGCGTGTGCTCCTGGGGTGAGGTGATTCCTGTGCTGTCCTTCACGCCCCTCTGTGGCCTCACGGCCCTGAGATCTCTAGAAGAAGCTTCAAAGAGCTCATGCAGTTATATTTCTAGGTCTACCCATCCAAGCCCAGGTGGTAGCAGAGAAATAAGTCTTATGAAAGAGCAAAACTTGTTTTTTATTTATCTGCAAAGAACTCTGGTGACAGTGCACACACTGGGCTGTGCATTTATCTTCTGGTGCTTTGATGTAGAAGCACTGGGGAAGCCCTGGTGTGGTGAGCAAGATGTTGGCCTGGCTTTTAATGGTTGTCCATGCACAGGGTGCTAACACTGCTTTGCCCGTGGGATTAAAGATCTTGATTTTCCTTTGGAGGTCTATGGATAAGAAGGTGATAAAGTTAAATCAGTTGTTGCAGCCAGGATGAAGCTTCCCCTTGACATCCAATTTTTGATGTCTTTGGTTGACTTGTTGGCTCAGGCTTTTGTAGTCTACCCTCCTGATCTGAAATGACCTTCCAGACAGCCTATAACATTAGGATGCATGGCTGAGGATGTGCTGTGGTTTCAAGTAGAAATTAATTTGCATGAATTGGATGGTCCATGTTCATGCAGGTCAGGCTGTCCATGGTGTTCCCTTCTGGCTTTATAATCTCCCATCTAATCTGTTCATGCTGAATGAGAGGCAGATGATCACCATTGTATTCCTGGACCAAAACTTGGGTGTCAAGTGATTTCTTCAGCTTTACAGTGGTGTATGGACACAGGGCTTTGCCCAGCAAGCAGCAGGAATCTCCCCCTGCTCTATAACATCTGACATAAGCATTCTATATTATTTTTTAAAATACCAAAGAAAAATATCCCACAAAAATTCCCCAAAATACCTTAGAAGATTCAGGCAAGCACCTCATGAGTATTTGGAGGCACTGAGTGAGTTATCATTCCTTTGGGCAAGGGTTTTATTTATCATGTTTCTTCTCTTGGATAACTGTCAGACACAGTTACAGTGTAGAGAAAGAAGCAAGACCGAGCACTGTAAGCTCACAGGGTTGGCACAGCCCTCATCTGGCTGCCAGAGCTCTTTCCCCTGCCCAGCAGGGTCTTGTCTGGGGACATTATTTTATTTCAGCTTTACTGAGCACTTGAAGATAAGTTTTTAGTGAAAAGCTGCCCCAAGTCCTACACGTGGAAGTTTTGGGGCGTTGTTGTTTTAACAGTTCTGTATTTTCCCGCTCTATACATTTTCCCTCCAGAGCAAAAGGGACCGCGTGAAGGCCTGGGTACGGGCACGGCTCCCCACCTGCTGCAAAGAGAGGGACTCCTGGTCCATCTACATCTTCGCCCCTCACTCCAGGTAAGGTAGGGCGCTCGGGCAGTGCTGGTGTGGTAGGATGGATGGTAACAATGCATGCCCTCATTACAGTGGCTCATCTGCCTGTTTATCCCAGATGGGTCTCTGTATGTCAGTCCCCAAAACTCCTAGCCCTTCCTCTGCCCCAGCATGACATCAGGGTTGAATAGCAAACAGTTGCTGGCTGCAGAGGGCACAAAAGTGTCCAGTCAAGACCCATAGCCCAGGGCATGCCTGCAGCTTCATCAGGTTCCTCATTTCCTTTGGCAATGATGCCAGTGCTCTGCAAGTTTTTCACTTGGTGGAGTGTGATGAGCTTGGAGCAAGGGGGAGAGGTGCAGCATTAAGCAAAAAAATCTGAATGTGCCCCACCATACCCTTACAGCACAGCAAAGAACTCCCTGATCTTCTCAGCCTGCCTCTCAGCTGAACTTCTCTGTCCTCCCCCTTCCCTTTCTCTCAGAGAACACCCTCTCCTTGCTTGAAGGCCCCCAGATCTGCCCTTCCTAAAGCCTGGCCATGGGGAGCCAGCTGAGCTCTGTGCTGTTCAACGCATTCCTCCAGACATGCACCCATGCACCCGAGGGTTTCCTGTGCTGGAGCTGAGGGCCCTGGACAGTGTTCAGGTTCATTCATACAAAGATTAGAGAGATTTTCAGAAACAGACTTTGGGAAATGTAATACGGTATTATAAATCCTGGGTCAGTGTACAGCCATCTGTCACAATAAATAGCTTCTGCCCCTTGGTTTCGTGTGTGCTCAACCCTTATGGGCTCATTGGGAGTATTTCTTCCTTTATTTAAGCTAAACCTGAGCACCAGGAAGCAGGTAGAGGGGAAGATCCAAACCTGGCTGTGTGTCTGAGTCATGGAAGCAGCTGCCCCGTTCCAAGTAACCAAAGCCCTCTGTGAGCATTCCCAGGGCTTGAAATCTGTGGCTCATTTCTGTAGATCAGATCCCTCTCTGTTCATAACCCAATCTGCCCTCAATGTGTGGCTCTGCCAGGGAGGGGATTGGGAGATTGGAGCTCATCTGTTTGCAAGCAGAGTGCTCAATTCCCCTGCCATGCGTTGAGCTGCTGTGTGTCTCCTCAGCCAGTTGAGCATTAATAGCTAGTCTGTGTCTACTCTTTTTTTTTCCTCTCTCAACAGATTCCGTCTGATGTGCAATAAAATCATCACTCACAAGATGTTCGATCACGTCGTCTTGGTGATCATTTTCCTGAACTGCATTACCATTGCCATGGAACGACCCAAAATTGAGCCTCACAGCGCTGTGAGTTTCTAAGGTTTTCCTGTGCTCCTCATGGAGCAAACACGTGTGGCTTGGACCCCACTGCTGTGCACTTGGTCTTTTGTTCTTTCTGTTTTTAAAATGGGAAGGTGCCAACACCCCCTGAGTATCCTTTGAATGAGGTGCAGCAACTCTCCTGGCCCCTATCCAGTCTCCTTTTAAAGCACAAGTGCACAGATCATGGCCTGCAATATATCCAATATCTCATTTCTGGAAGCACGATCAAGGTTTTAACACATGACATAGCATGACATCTGTCTCAGTTTCCTTCCCTGAGAAACCTTCAAACACTTTTCCTCTCTCAACACAATGTTCACTTCTTCCATCTGTTCCCCACAGGCACGTATGTGTGGTGCAAATGGACTGGGGGAAACTGTTCATTTCATACTCTTCTCTCCCCTTTGTGTATCAGCTTTGTTGTGACACCAGAAAAACTGAATTGATGCAGGCACTGCAATGCCAGTTCTTGGAACCTCTTTGTTCTAATATACTATATAAGGATTCCTCAAACTAGACCCTCACAGCACCAGCATCCAGCAATCAGAGGGGCAGAATCATCCTATTGCTCTTTTATTTTACCATAGATTGGGGTTGAGATGCACTGGGCTCTTGCTGATTTATCACTCAAGACTGCTCATATCACAATCGTATAGAATCCTGTTTTGTTTATGTAGGCGTGTCAGGCTGTTCATTTTTGTGGATTTTCAATGTAAGGCCTTAAAACTGGAGTCTAGGCTGCTCTCTGCCTATTTTAAGCATTCCGTAGTAGTCCTTCTTACTGTAACAGTCTGCCCAGCAATCCTTTCCCTAAATCCATTTTTTTTCCAGTTCCCTTGCAGTCGTGCACCAATTTGCAGCTGCAAGAAGAGACCAGGGCTCCCTGCCAGCTGATGTAGCAGGAGATCACCCTGCTTGTCCCCAAATGGGGCACCCTGAGAACCTCCCTTAAAATACTAAATACTTCCTTTGAGCCCCTTGCTATGTCCTCTGAGAGTTACCTCTCCCCAAGACTGGCTCCAAAAGGAGCTGAAGGTACACAGAGAAGGGAAATGGGGTGACATGTGTGAGTTGGAGGAGTCCACAGCAAAGAGCTGTAGCACACAAACCCAGTATTTCATATAGGAGAGGAGGAGCTGTGGTGTCCCCTGGCACTGGGAGAGTGCTAAGAGGAATGGAGACAGGGCCTGGTGTGGGGTTCATCACCATTAGGTTATAACAAGGGAGATGGACCATGGCCTGGGTGCTGCAGAGGAGAAGGGGAATGCTGAGCAGTGGGTCAGGGGATTGAAGAGAAGTGCATGGGCCCTGCCTGTGCAGATGGAGCTCTCATCTGGAAACAAAGAGAGTTAGTTTAGGTTGAATTGTTTAAAATAATTGTTCTTTGCTTCCCTGAGCTGTGGATTTTCTAACTGCTTCGAGTGAGTTCTCTGTCCCTGTCCCAGTTTCAGCTGGCTTATCAGAACAGGAGCTGCTGTTGCAAGACAGCATGTGGTCCCCCACTGCAGAGTGCACGACATGGACCGGGGAGATTATCCTTCAAAATAGCCACATGCTTGCCAGGGAGGAATGCAGTATCCTCAGTCTCACCTCCATGATATTGCTGTTTTATCTCCAGCTGCACAAGCAGGTCTCTATCCTCTCCCTTCTGCCTAGTGTCTGCCCCTTACAGCAGCCTTTTGTGTGGCAGTCAGCTAACAATGGAGATGTTTTGTATCACAGCTCATGCAATCACAGTACAGGTCTAGGACCTAATTAATTATGCACCATGTATAGAAACAAGCTACTCTGTGGTTCCTGAGTCACTTCCAGTAAATCATGATCTGGCAAGCAAGAGAGTTGCCAAGGTGTTTTGTCTTGTTTAAATTGCATCTCATTTTGAGTGAGAGATCTGCATTTCTTATGGGACTGCTCTGTAGGGAGAGGTAGAAATAAATCCAAAACTGTTAAAAGCAGGACTGGGGCCAATTGTATGTGCTCATACATATCTGTACATGCATCATCATTCCTCCAGCATCTACCTTCTGCTGTCCATTTCTCAGTGTAGGGAAATAGAAGCTGTCTAGGGGTTAGGGTAAAGTGCAATTTATTTAATAATCATCATTAAAAAGAAAGGTTTCTGGTAACTATGGATAGGGAACCAGTCCATGGGCTCATCTGTAATCACTAATCTATAATCACTCTTGCTGAGTGGTGGCGCTGAGGAGGGCACAGTCTAGTGGATAGTGCAGGGACTGGGAAATGAGGCTGTTTGGCTTCATGCCAGGTCTAGACCATGGTTTTGGGCAACAGAATTGACCTTTTGGGGGCAAGTCTCAGCTGGCATAAAGCCCCAGAGCTTTGCTGGCTTTGCAGGAGCTGTAATAACTCATTCCAGCTGCACTTCAGTATCCCACGAGTCCTGCTGCCTCACAGCTCTGTCACTCCAATATTGACTTAATTTCTAGGAGAATTGGGAGCTCAGTGATATTTACACAATGCAGTGATTTCTGCAGGTGAGAGGCAGGTAGAGATTTGTCAAGCACATTTCAAGGAGGGAACATCTCCCTGTTTCTGCTACGAGGGGGAGGATGATTTGGGGGAAATTAGGGAGGATTTGGAGGCAAATGGGAAGGCTTGGGGGAAGGTGCTGGCCGTTGTCTCTGTCCATGGTGCTGACACAGAGACGGGTACTGGTGGGCCTGAACCATGCAGTGTTATTGTCTAAATATTTGGAATTTCTCCTCTTTGCAAGCAAACGGTTCAAGGCTTGTTTCAGCACAGAATTGGAAGAACAGTTTTCAACCACCCAAATATGCACGGGGGGATGCACAGCTGCAGAGAGCAGGCTATAAAACACTGTCTCTCATTTTCTTTTTCATAGGAACGGATTTTCCTAACACTCTCCAACTACATCTTTACAGTCATCTTCCTGACTGAGATGACAGTTAAGGTAAATGCAGGTGGAGGATAAGTGTGCCTGTATTATATTAGTTGTTTTTAATTATCGTGGACTCACAAAACCCTTAGGTCCACCAGCTGCAAGTGTGGTGTATATTTTCCTGTTCTGAATCATACTCAGAATGTCCACCATATGCCTTATTCCAAGCACGTTTTACATCAGAACAATTGCACTGAAGTTGCTCTTGATTTACACCATTATAGGAGCAATGGGATCCTTGAATTCAGCAATCCTGTCCTATTCAGCAAAGCTCTTGAGCACATGCTTAACTTCAACCATGCATGTAAGTCCCATTGTCTTCAACAACCAGTTGTCCTCAACAACCTAAGCTGCTGTGTGCTTTCCTGAGGACAGAGAGACTTAAGCACTTGCAACACTTTGCTGGATTTGAGGCAGAAGGCTCAGAAACCCATGGCTGTAAATCTCTCTTGAGAAATTCATAATCATCTCACTGAACAATTGCTCTTTCTTTGGAAAGTTTTTCTAGTTTCTTTATTTGCAAAGCTTGTACATGATTGCTTGGGTCAGCCACTCTGCAGCTTCTCTCCTGCAGTCTATAGGAATAAAATATGATAGAATTTTTTTATGCCAGAGCTAAAAATGTTAGGAACAGTTTTGTGTTCCTGCAGGTAGGTTTATCTGCATTAAAAGTATATCAGCTGTAAGGGACAACCTGGGATATTTCTGTGGCAGTATTTTCATAATTCTTTCAATAGAATACTTTGCTGGTTTGTCTAATTAGGCTTCTGTACTGGGAAGCAAATAGACTCACAGACTGGTGTCTGTAAATAATGCGTTCTCAGCAGGTTGCTAACTGCAACAAACACATTGGATGCTACAGTCATAATTTGTTGCAACTTGGTGTCTGGGCAGGTGGTGGCACTAGGCTTGTGTTTTGGGGAGAAAGCCTACTTGAAGAGCAGCTGGAATGTGCTGGATGGGGTGCTGGTGCTCATCTCCGTCATCGACATCCTGGTCTCGATGGTGTCAGACAGTGGCACGAAAATCCTGGGGATGCTGCGGGTTCTGAGGCTACTGAGGACACTGCGGCCCTTGAGGTAAGTAGAGGCAGGGGAAGATCTAAGGATGTCTGTGCCAAAGGTAGGGCTGAGCATTAATGCATGGGAAGGGGCAGATGAGACAAATGCACAGTGTCCATAACCAGTGTCATCCCAGCCTCCTGCAGCTCTGCAGACAATGGCAGTCCACCGGTCCTGCTGAACTGCGAGAGCTTTGGGCCCTTGCTGTGTTTTGGGACCAGCCCCAAATGCAATAGGAAACTGATCAATGCCTCTTTTGCTCATTAAAACACACATCCCCTGCTATTTGTGTTCTCATTTGCTCTGTGTAAAGTGCAGCTTAATAGCTTCTTCTCCCCCTTTCCTTCAGGCAGTCAATGGCTTTCATAACAAAGAAGGAAATTAGTAGCAGGTGGTAGATCATTTTTAAGGAAGCAGAGACTCAACTGTTGCTTAACCTAGAATGCAAAGAAGCTTTTTTCCCCAGCTCCCCATTAATTTTAGAGAGACATTTACTTTGAAAATGACCCAGACAAGATGAAAACAATTGTTCTAGTAACTCGGCTCCCAACTCTGCCAGCAGGAAGTATCCGATGCTCCAGGGACAGGCTCTACTCTGATAAGAACCTGCCCAAGGACCAACCTCTTATAAACGGGCATCTGTTTGTGACCTGTACCCCAAGGCATGAAGGTTTCTCTTCATGCTAAATGCAGTTCCTCTTTAATACCATTGTTGCTGCTCCTGTTATGCAGCAGCTAATAAACCTTCCTGCTCAAAGCATCTTTGTGTGCCTGTCATATCTTACTGCTGCTTCCTCCATAAAAAGGTTCACTTTGAATCAGGATTTTTCTCTTTCAGAACAGAAAAATAGGACCCTGCTTCTGATAGAAGATGTTGTTTTACTACCCCTGTGTGAATAATAAGTCTAAATAACAATGGCCATGCCTATACATATCTTTCAAATATTCTCAGCAGCTATAAAGGACATTCTGTTCAATTGGTCTGTGTATGTGTGTTGTACCTGATGAGTTTTAGGACGTGAACTGCTTTTAATCATTTTTATCTGGACAGCTGGCACCATTGGGGTAGTTCAGCTCCCTCTCCATGTGAGTAGGCTGTATTCCTATGTGACTCCAATTCAGGCTCTTCTCTCTTTATGTGTCCCCTGGTATCGCATGACAGCTGCAGTTTCTGGGGTAGTTTCTGCCCAGCTGCTGGTTGGGTTGATTTGCTCTGTTCCTCTGTTTCTGCTGATTTTTGACCCATATTAAGAAAACCTATAAAATAATCTAGATGGCTCAGGGTAAAAGAAGGATTGATTTCTCTTCTCTGAACTGTAGAATGCAACTTTCCCTTCTGATGTTCCATAGTTAAATCAGATTTAAAGAGAGACATTTGTGTTGTGCTGATCTCTGCTGGAGTCACCTGTGTGACCTGGTCAAAGCACTGTATTCTTCTTTATAGCTCTGTAGGGCTGTCTGGCCAGGACTTGGGTCTTTTTTTACTGGAGCCTTCCTCTGTAGTCACCTATGTGCATGAATAATCTGCAGTTATGGGGAATAATCCACTCAGTAACTGCAGACTTGCCATCAGAAGCATGGGTGGAATTAGGGTCTTCCATTGCTATTGCATCCTATTGGTATTTGATTTGTTTTCTCAAGAGATTAAGTGCATGTTTTCAGCCAACATGCTGCTTTCTACTACAAAGGAAACATAAAAAAAGACAGCAACAAGCCCATTCCCTAAATATGTTCAGGATCAGTTCTGTTGTCCCATTATTAGATTTGTAGGAAAAGAAAAAGCAGCCATCAAACCGGGGGCTTTTCAGTAAGTCGTAAATCTCTGCCTGTGGAAGCCCATCTGCCTCTGTGCCACACATCTGGGCTGCCTGAGCAGCCTCTGCCCACAGCTGCCCATGCTGCCTTTGTTGCAGGCTCAGCGTATGGCTCAGGGATCACATCCTCACTGCACAGCCTGGGATCTGTAGCTGCATCAACGTGGGGTGACAGCTGGGACAGATGACCTGAGGTCTTTGCACACTGTGGCATCAGTTACCATGTCTGGGTGAAGTGTCTCATGGAGGCTGTGCCAGTTTTTCTTCCGGAAGGCATAAGGCAGACACCAAAGCAACTTTCCACTCACACCACAGAGGAGCAAACCTGGCTCCTTCTGTCCTCCCTTTCTGGGGACACTCCAGGACAGGACTGCAGGAGGACACCCTTCGTGAGAAGCCAAGCCACAGCTCTGTGTGTCACACTCAGCTCGAGGGCAGGGACAACTCTCGTGCTCTGTGTTGGCTTTCCCATTGGATGGCCTGGAAGGGGGATCCTTTCAAAAGATCTTCCTCATTCTGTCTTTTATTTTCTTCTGTGGAAACCACCCCATTGATTTATGAAGTACACAAAACCCTGCACAGTTCTGCCCTCTGCCCAGACATTTAAAAACCTGTATGCTAATTGAGGGGTTTTGATTGCATGATTGATTATCAGCCTCCATATTGAATCCATGAAGATTCAAGCCCAACTTTATGACCAGAATTCCAAAAATAAATTCACAGAGGAATGACATTTAAAGATGATTCCATGGCTCTCTGATGTTTCAGCCAGTAAAGGGATTGCTTATACAATAACATTCCTTCCTAATGCGTTCAATCTGCTATTGTTGGGATCAAGTGTTATGGCTTAAGATACGAGAGAAATCAAAATTGAAAATGTTTTCAGATTTAATGTGGGTAGACTTGTCTACAGAGCCCAGGATTTGACTTCCAAAGCACACAGATAAATTACTCACTTTTATACTACCATGGTCTAGTGGTCATTTCATTACCCTCGTCTATCTATCATATTATCACCTTTGCTAATTTTATTTTAATCTGTGGAAGAAGGTCTTCATTAATGTTGATCTGTTGCCTCATCTAAGTGCTGCTACTTCTTCTGAGAGTTCTCATCAGGAAGGTTGAATGTTGGTAAGGATCTGGCTAGGATGAGGCTGGCAGTGGGTTTGGAGCATCTCACACCAGGGGTTCAACAGCATTGGGAATCCTCAGACCAGAAGAACCAGGGGGAATTAGAGGGATTAACATTCTTTCACACCAAAATAAAGATGAAAGAATGTCTCATTTCAATTTCCCTGTTTGTCATATGCCTAATGCAGACTGGAATTGTGCTGAATGGAACCTTGTCAGGTCTCCTTTTCTTGAACAACTGCAGGGCTCCAAATCAGCTGCATCCTTCAGCCATAAATTGCAGAGGTGTTGGTCAGATAATAAGATTTTACAAGCCTGATAGCAGCAGGACCTTGGCAATACTGATGAGGTGTGGGAATGCTGTATGTTGACATATTGTAGGTGGTACTAATAATCTGGAAAAGCTGAGAATTTCATTGACACCCCTTAGAGAATTGTCAGACTCTTAGGAGCATATCAGGAATCTTCACACAGACTTGCCTCAAAGTTGGATCAGGCCCTTAGTCTGAGGCAGCTCCAAGGTCTGAAGGTTTCCATTAGCAAGAACTATTATTTTTCAAAATCTTTTCAAAGTCTCTCCTCCCTGTAGTGCTGAAAACAGCACTGGCATGGAGCTAAACTGGTGGCAGCTTTTACTCTCATGCATTCTAATTTGAGGAGTTCCTGGTTGATCAAAACACTTAAAGCAGCTAAATGCTGCTGGTTTTCAGCCCTTTATTCCTCTACATGCACATGACTTTGCAAATTCAGACAAGTAACCTCCTATTTTCCCTCTCAGCTGGATACAAAATAGTGCCTCACAGGGGAAATCACTTTATTATTTCTAGAACAGCATTTCTTAATAACCGTTGGAGAAAATTATCAACTTTAAACTCTGGAGACTAAATGCCTTTCTTGTATCCCAAAATTTAAGGATGCTTCAGTAGTTCAGACCACAGATCTTCAGTTTAGAAGACTTAACTTTGGTTCCATCCTGCATGACAGTGGACAGAAGTCCATGATCCCTAAAGTCAGGATGCCTAAAGGCACCAAAGGACCTGATTTACACTGAAATAATTGGAATTGAGTTGCTTTCCTACCTCTGAGAATGTGGCTTCCCTCCTCCTGTGCCTCAGTTTCCCACCTGTAGTTTGGCAGGCATCGTATTTCACCCAGAACTGTGCAAGGAATGTGAGTGTGAAGGTCTTTAGTCCATCTGAGGAGCTGAAAGAGATGTTCAGCCTCAGCATGTCCAGCCCAAGGCTTGCTTTGTGCACTCAGATATGGCCTGTTAGGCTTCATTACCTCACTCATTGAGTTGGGCACACTGAGCTGCTCTTCAGCCTCTGTTTGCTGGGCTGGGCTCAGCTCTCAGCCCCATGGCAGCAACAGCAAGGTCTCCAGGCTGGGGTAATCCCTGTGGGCAGCTTTGGCAGCCTACATTGACCAGTCCCCACACTGCTCATGGGGTATGCAGTCTTCTGCTCCTTCAGCCATCTCACCCTCCAGCTCCTTCCGTAAAATACCCTGATCTGAGTGTCAGGAAAACTGAGGCATCTGAAGTAGGGAGCCACAGCACCCACCTGGCAGAGATACTCAGTGTGAGGAATAGCAGCATCTGCTCTTTGTGTTTCACTGGTAAGAGAGCAGATAAAAATACCACCATCTGCTTCTTTTTGAAAGTGATAACTGATGAGTTACCCTTGACATTTTGAGTAAATATTTAACCAGAAAAAAAAAAAAAAAAAGGAAATAAGCTTTAGCTTTTCAGGATATTATTTAAACCCAACAGTTTTGGTAAGAGCTGGTGGCTGTGCATTGAGCACTGCAGATCACTCAACTTGCAGGCCCTAGGGCAGGAGAGGAATGGTGCAGGTTGGCTGTGGTCCCAGATGAGGCCACACATGATCAGTGTGAATGTGCCAGTGTGGATCTCTGCTGTGAGCACCATGCCTGGAAGAGGGAGTGGAGGAGAACTTGGACCCTGTCCAGGCAGCAAAACTCCAACAGTGCTTCAGGTGGTGGAGCCAGATTTGGGGAGAAATAGGAGAGGTGGTGAGAGGACTCCCATGGCAAAAGAGAGACCCAGGCAGAAACTAGAACATGGGGAAGTTTGGGACACATTTGAGAGCCAAGTGTTCAAAGGAGTCACCAGTAGCACCCAGAAACACACAGTCACTTCCCTCCTCTGACTTTCACAGCATTTAACTGCTTCTGAGTCATGAAAGCAGTTTCTATGGCATCAGTACAAACTGATTTACAGAGCTAGTGAAATGTTTAATTCCACTTGGCATCAAGAGGAGGGAGGCATGTTACCTCTTCAAATACCTTTCTTGGTCCCCACCTTCAGGTTGGTGAGGCTGCATATCTTGTTCATCTTTCCCAGCATGCTGAGATGGCTTCTCTAAATCACGCAAGACTTGTCATTTCTTTGCAACATTAACCTTGAGAGTATATACAGTTTCTACTGTTTTTTCACTTTTTTTTTCTTCAGTCATGAAGTCCACATTATGCTTTTTCAACTTTGGGATATGATCTAACCTTCTGTTATGAAATTCTGTGTGATACCAGACAGAGAGGAGCAACAGAAATTAGATTAGATGCTTCCAGTCCTGCCAGTGAAGTTTCACCTGGAGGACAGCACTGTTTTAGAGCTGAGGCTGTACAATGCTGGGGGGGGGGAGTGGGGTATAAAGCAGAAATTGTGATGGTCTGAGGAGTAGCTCAGGTCCCTGTACACAGCAGCACTATAAGGACACAACAGATTATCTTTTAAGATGAGAGTGCTGAAAACACTGACACAAGTTGCCCAGAGAGGTGATTGATGCCCCATCCCTGGAAATATCAGGGGCTCTGGGCAACCCGATGTAGTAGTAGGAGGTGTCCCTGCTCATTGCAGGGGGTTGGATTAGATGACCTTTAAAGGTCCCTTCCAACCCAAACTGTAATTGCTACAGATGTGCAGGCAGATGTGTAAGAGTGGCAGCTCCATTTCATGGACTGAGACAGGGAAATCAGGTGTCTTGCCTAAATCTGTATAGGAAAGGACAGTGGAAGGCCCTCTCTTTGTAGTCCTAGACAGCCTACAGGCATGAACTGTGGATGGCCCAAGCAAAACAGCTGAATTTTCTGTCATGGCTCTTCGTATGTTTTCTCCTCCTCCTCTTTATTTATGCAAAGCTGACCCTTTGCTCCAAGACCTCCATAACTTTACAGGTCAATCTTCCAGAAGTGCTTTTTCCATCATGATTTTTGAGTTACTTGTCATTGTAAAAAATTTTCTAATGCTATGTTCTTCATATCTTCTATCTTGATAGGAAGCAAAACTGGGCAGGAACAGGACTAACAGCTTTTCTAATTACTTGCCCCTACAGAGTCATTAGTCGAGCCCAAGGACTGAAGCTGGTCGTGGAGACTCTCATGTCATCGTTGAAACCCATTGGGAACATTGTGGTCATCTGCTGTGCCTTTTTCATAATCTTCGGGATCTTGGGAGTTCAGGTGAGTCTTCTGTAAGCCTCAGCACTTATCCTGAAAGCATAACAAGCCTCAAATTTCCCCAAGTCAGGGTATCTGTACGCATGGCACAGTGTAGGGCTTCTGAACTTGAACTGATGTCAGGATGGATGAGGTCTCTGTGCTCACTACAGGGAGCTGGACTAGGTGACCTATAAAGGTCCCTTTCAATCCAACCCATTCCATGATTCTATGATCTCTCCTCCACCTTTTTTCTAATTACAAACTGATAGGGAAATAGAAACTCGAAGCTGAAATCACTGGCTTGTAAACTCCAGAGAGACCTTGAACTGGAGATACATTCAGATTCTGACAGTTTGTGTAACTGAAAGCTTGCAGAAACAAAGATTTCTGAGTCTGTTTCCTGCTGGATCTGCTGGCAATATTCTCAGTCCAAGGAGTGCAAGAACCCAGGGGGACAGTGGCAGTTTCCAATGCAATTGGTTTCTCATTACCTGGGAAGAAGAGATTGCTTCATGTAAATATTCTGACATAACGCTTACTTCTTTCTGAAGTTTATCTGATCTGTCACAGCTGTCTTTTGGAAAGAAACTCTATTTGGCTTTGTTTTGGAAAGGTATCTTATATAATACTTTACTCTAACATACTGCTTAAATAATAAATACAGCATTGAAAGTAAACAGGGAAGAAAATCATGCCATCCATAACCACCTCAGCAGCTAGATTGGTTTAGCATTACAGCATAACAACATCCATCCATTATATTGAACAGATTCATAAAACTAAGCATATCCCATAAAACAATCTAACACTTATGAGAAAATTTATGCCAGAAAACAAAACTTGCAGTATGCTCTTTGAATTTCATCCCTGCTAATTGTGATGCTTTCCCTGGTGACTTGCAGCTTTATGTTAAATTGTCATGACTATTGATGTGATTCAGAGGTAGATACAAGCAAGACTGATCCTGTATTCAGGATGCAAAATTCTCAGTGAATATTTATGTCTAATTAGATGTAAGATGAGGCCAGAGCTATTTTCTATAAAAAGATGATCTCTCAAACTTACAGTTAGTTTTTCCATTTAAATATAAGCTGGGGATCAAACTAGATGTTTTTAATCTATTAAAATCCAGGCATCAAAGTTTCTAACAGTGTGTCCTCTAAGCAAAACTGTTTTGATTGTGTGAATGGTCATTAATAAGATAGAAGAAATAGGTGGATAAAGCAAGTCCAGTAAGAAACACTGGGTATTTTCCTTTCAGAAGTGCCCAGCTGTGAAGTGCTGACAAGGATCAATGTTTTTACTAATTGAGCTTTGTATTTCCAAACTCTGTCAGGAGCACTGTTACTGCTCCCACCTGAGTGGTATTACAGTCCAGCTCCTGGAGAAGTTATGTTTACAGACAATATACTGGAACCAGTTATTTACCTTCCTGCTTAATTAAAATTTTTCTCTGTGAGGAGTATATCTCCCCAGTCTGCCTTACCACTGATAGTGTTTCTCCATGGAAAGATCAGGGAATACTTACATCCAAAAGTTCTATGATTGCGTTGAGCAGTGATTAATTTTGCATGCCTAGAGACCATCTTCCTGCTGTTGACTTCTGAAGGAAACCCATGGAGTAGTGTGTGAATTTATCTTGTTCACTATTATCTCTACTGTTATTTGTCTAGAACAACGGATCAAACCCCATCAGTGTCTCTTCTCAGTATACCCAGGTGGTGTTTTAAGGAGCCTGGAGAGCAGGTTGCCATTTCCCCCCACTTTCCAACAGTAACGTCAATAACTTCTGTCAGCAAATAAAAGTAGATTTGTTGGCTGTCTCCTGGGATTTGATACCATCCATCCTGCTAGCATCAATCACCCTGTCTGAAGCAGTAATCAACCCCTGCCACTTTCTGTTCCAGGGGTGGGAAGCACCAGGTCTAGAATTAAGCACATGGAGGCTCCTGTTCCTCATGCAGGTATAAATAAGGAGCTGACTCTCCAGGAATTGCATCCCTCTAGGCATAAACCAAAGGAAATAAGCTCAGGATCAGGTACCCAGCACCATCTGGGCTTGGCTCCTTAAGCTGCGCACAGTGAATAATTTCAGTGACTCTGCAGACTGCAGAGCTTTATGACAGCTGGGGCACAGCACTCAGAATCAGAGAGCAGAGCAGGATTGACAGCAGTCTTGATTCAACACAAACGTCACCCCCAGGGGCTCATCTCCCCTTGGAAGTGTCCCCTTGTGACCTCCATGAGCAGAGATTAGTCCTTCACTGGGTCTCTTTGCTGCCACCTTTTCTCTGCTGACAAAGGGCCCCTGTTGGACTTAATTTGTTGTTAACTGGACTGAGAGTCACCAGAGTTGTTCCACATGTGATAAGAAGCCATTAGCTGGTCTGGGCTATTGGTTGGAGCTACACTTGAGCTAAAAAGTGTAGGAGCAAAGGCCTTTAGGTGAGTCTCAGATCATTGAACCAGACAGCTTAATGCATGAGGTGGGTGTCCTAAACGATGTGAAATCATGCATTTTCTCATTAGGTGTGTCTTATACGGGCTGTGCAGTCTTAATAACCTGTATGAATCAGGTCAGTTCCCTCGACAGCTCTGGTTGGCGTGCGCTGTGCGAGAACCCTGGATAAATGCCCATCACCTGCATAGAAATCCTGTGGACTGAACCCTGACACCTCCTCTCTTTGCTTGTTTTGCAGCTTTTCAAAGGCAAGTTTTTTGTGTGCCAGGGGGAGGACACCAGAAACATCACAAATAAATCGGATTGTACAGAAGCAAGCTACAAATGGGTCCGGCACAAGTATAATTTTGATAATCTTGGCCAGGTATTAATAGAACGGTAATCTGCTTCTTTGCTCCTTTACCTCCTTGACTTAAAACCTGTGGCTTATTATCCCGTGGGATTTTCTTACAGGGCACTGCCAGCCACAGTAAATATTCAGTTCACATACACAGCATTCTGTCTCTGTAAATCCCAAAGGCAGTGTTTCCAAGCAGGCATACACTTCTTTTCAGAACAGAACAAGCACATGTGGCTTCATGAATCACTTAATTGCTTCACTGCTACATAACAAACCAAATATATCTTGCAGAAGGGCTTGTCTAATAGAGCTGGACATTTTCAGCCATCTCTGCAACGCAGCCTTTTTTTAGCAGTGTGGTACGAACTAATTAGTTGGGAGCAGTAGAGACCCAGAGGGTGGAAATGAAGCCACTTTTGTCTTCAGCACTGTGGTTTCCGAATTACTGTTCATTGCTGAACCAGGCATTGGCACTGATAGGTTTTGCTGCCAAGAGAAATCTTGGTCATCAAAGTGTCCCATTATCAGGCAGGAAAGGGCAAGGTGGAGTAAGATGTTACAAGTAAAAGAGGTTTAGTGCAACTGTGTCTAACTGTTTTTCCATGCATTTCTAGGCCCTGATGTCTCTCTTTGTCCTGGCCTCCAAGGACGGGTGGGTGGATATCATGTACGATGGCTTGGATGCTGTGGGAGTCGACCAGCAGGTACAGGCTGCAGCAGAGCTGTAGCAAATGACTTGTCAAAAGTCACATATTTTAGCTCTTGCTTTGTGAAGTACTGTGGGCTTCCACAGTCAAATGGGCTTATGAAATTAGGATCCAGTTGGTATTTAATCCAAGTTGTGAGATGTGATGAGTTAGTAAAAAGTCTGGATTTGTACTCAACACTTTCCCTACAGATTTTGCATCATGGTGTTACTCATGTTAGGAGAAGTGCACCTATCAAAGGACGGTTTGACTTTTTAAGCAGTTTGGTCATTTCAGGAGAAAAGAAGTGCTTTGTGTACGTAGAGGTTCACAATGAGGGACTTACAGTAGCTGCAAAGGATGCTGCTGTCCTTTTTGCAGAAGAGAGGTGGTGCTTCTGTCCTCAACACACATTTTAGGAGCATTCAGTTAAAATGTCTCAGCAAGCTCTAATTTTCAGGAAGAGCAGAGCAGCCTGCCTGAAAGGGCTATGAGTTCTGTGGATGGCACAGCTGTATCAATTTGTTCCCATTCTTCTTTTTGAGATTCAGTTGAAATTTGCCTTCCTCCACTTTGCAGCCAGTCATGAACTACAATCCATGGATGCTCCTCTACTTCATTTCCTTCTTGCTGATTGTGGCCTTCTTCGTCCTCAACATGTTTGTGGGGGTGGTGGTAGAGAATTTCCACAAGTGTCGGCAGCACCAGGAGGAGGAAGAAGCAAAGAGGCGAGAGGAAAAAAGGCTCCGCCGGCTGGAGAAAAAGAGAAGGAGTAAGGAGAAACAGATGGCTGGTCGGTAGTCTTTCCACATCTTTCTGAGTCCTGCTTGACCTTCCATATAATCCCCTCCTCTCTCCCCTCCCTGCCTCGCATCTGGTGATAATTCTTCTCCCAAAAGCATGTCCAGCTACAAAATTTGCATGAAGGAAATAGTGTCATTTTAGGCTGAACAAGGAGCCAAGGAAGCCTTTTTAATGGCTGCATGATTTGCAATGACCTTCTATTGGGGGTTATTTAAATTAAAAAATAATAATAATCAGGCTTTGAGCTTCTTGGATAGCAGAGCTCAGTGCTACACAAATAGTGACAACTGCAAAGATCAGTAGTGCTGGATGGCATCATAAATCTCAGTCATGAGCACTGTTGCTGATAACTGGATTCACTATTTGGTTTATTACAGTCTCCTATTGCCACAGTGATGTTACCTGTCCCATTTATCAAGCAGGTTTATTTATTGGCACAGTAGCACCACTGCTATTCAAGAATGTAATAAAATAATAGAGCCATCTCATTCTAGTAATGCTTTAAAACTCCATAGAGAAACATCAATGCATTTGCTTGAGAAATACAGATTAGAAGAAAAAAAACCAACCAGACAAGGAGAGAACTAACTGATGCAAATTGAACCCAACTCCAAACCAGATGTGCAAGTGTGCAGCCCTGCCTAGAGGAGGCTCTACACGTGAAACGAGGACAGACCCCACTCTGCCAAAAGTCTTCAAACTGACATTTGTCTCTTAGTCTCTTTTCATTTTAATGTAGGTGAATAATTCAGAAATAAGTTAGCCAGAGGCCACAGATTGGAGGTGCTCTTCTTGCATGCTCTCTCTTCTGACTGACCTTTCTCCATTGCCCTTCTTGTCCACGGCCTTGCACATTCTCTCCCTGGTCAGTCTGCCTCCTGCTCTCTCCCTGTCCCCTTTCACTTCTCTATCTTTGACAGACTTCAGGACTGTTTAAGAGGCTATCTGATTAGGTGCTTGTTCCCAAACCTGGTGATATTGTCTGTTGTTTTTTTTTTTTTTAATAGCCTAAGAGGTGTTTAATAGTTGTTGCAGGCTTAATCACAGAACCACGTTACCACGGTGCTGCCTCAGCCCCTCTCAGTTCAATATTTCCCCAACCATTTCCTTTGGTCACATCTTTCAGTCCCATGAGCTTCACACATTACAAAACGTCTTACAAAACAGGATATGTCACACCAGCCCCTGGCCATCAAACTTAGGTTTAAGCCAAGAGCCTGTTTCCCTCACTGGCCAGTGTAAAGTAGGAGGCTTCCCTCAAGAGCACTGGAGGACACATTAGACTGTTCTCAGTTAAGTGGGATACAGATGGAAAGAGGTTTTTTTGTTGCATGTTTTTTTGGGTTTTCTTTTTCTCCCTCAAGAAGATGCCTAGGAAGCTCTTTTGCTTAGCTCAAGTTCCCAAGCCCAGTTTAAGGCTGAGTTAGAAAAGGATTTTAAAGGTTGGACAGAACAATTGCTATTTAAAGTTTCTGTTTTGGAATGCTGATATTTCTGTAGAAAAAAAATAGATGTTTAAGTATTATTAATTACTTTATTTGTAATGCTAGAGGAACTAGATGAAGAAAAGATGTAAGTCTGGGCAATTTCCCACAGGGAAGGAATCACAAACCATCCTTGGAGATACAGTTATTCATTCAGTGCTATGAAATACCTCATTAAAGAGGCAATAAACAGATACTTTACTGAGGATCAAATATTGCTGAGTATTCAATTGCCATAAAAACCTTTCAAGAGTAAAGTATGAATTCCTCCAAATCGCTTCAGAACAGTTTTCCCAATCCATGCTCAGCAAAACATTAGTTTTAATTGATTGTGTCCAGCTTTCCCCTCAGAGGCAACAGATGTCATTGCTTAACTTTGTTCTGCACAGTGGGAACTTGCAGACGAAACCGTGACTAGGGCTGGAATTGTGCCAGCAACTGCATGGGGATTCCTTTCAGCTGGGCTTCCTGAGTGACCCCAGATGCCCAAACCAGCCTAGGGTTGTCAAATACAGACAGACATTGACATCTGACTGGTCACAAAAATAACGGTCATTTTTGGTTGTAGAGTCTTCCAATGCATTTATCCAATCAGGCGTCTGAAAACGGGGGGAAGCGTGTGAGATCTGAGATGCGGGCAGGTGCAGAAGTGGTCACTGTGAGGTATTGCTGTCCCAGCAGGAAGTGTCCCAGATGGTCCTTCAGCAGTGTCTTCAGCATCGACTGAGGGGGTTCTTGGGGATGTCTTGGGCTTCCACAAGAGGGAGAAGCACAAGAGCTCTTCCTTTTTCACATATACCTGAGCACACCCTCCACGAGGCACAAGGATCCCACAAGGAAACACTCCTGGCAGAGGCAACGGAGAGCCATAGGAACCTCCACAGGGGCTGGGGAGTCTTGCTCTGTGTCCTGCTGGGTGATTAATGCCGTTTCATTCTTTTAGATCTAATGCTGGATGATGTATTAATGGAGAGCTCAGCCAGTGCAGTGCAAGGTACTGGGAAGCTGGCACGTCTCGTCCCTCTGAATGGCAGTGCTGTGTCACTAACGGTTGGCCACCGCGGCTGAGGCATCCCACTAAACCATGTGTGTGGTGCAAAGCTCGTTTGCTTCCTTCATGGCACACGCATCTCATCCTGAGTTGCAGGTCTGCAAACCTGCCTCAGCTGACACTTGCAAACCCTTAATTTACTCCTTGATCATCTTACGTTATTCAGTATTTTTTTCCCTCTGGTTTTCATTAAGACACTGTCAGACTTTTCATGGCTTTTTTTTTTATTTTTATTTTTTGGTTCTTTTAGCTTTTTTTTTTTCTGAAGAGAATAATGACTGGACTGTGAAAATGGGTCCTCTACTGTTGACTTTAGCTTTCTGACAACCAGCTTAGGAGTCTGAATGATTTTCAGGTGTGTGTCTTTGGAAAGCTTAGGGAGGATATTTCATTATTTCTTCAGCCCTTGCTTATTGCTCTACAAACACTGTACTCCAGGGAGTGGTTTTTTTCAGCAGGGTAAAATTCAGTATAGGGCAGAGCTTTAGTGCTTCAACAGGGAACTCAACCCCACACCAACCCCCGCTGTGGACACAGGATTTAGTCATTGTGCTGCCCAGTGTGTAAATTCTGTGCATTGATTAAGAGTTGCTCAATCCATTAAGCATTTTGTAAATTAAAAGAAATAAAGATACAACCTCAAAGCCTTTTCAGGTGCTGATGGAGATGGACCGGCTGGGCTCAACACTAATGGGGTCTGAGCTGTCCCTTTTGACCCACAGCTTGCTCACACTTCCCTTTCCCAGCCCCCTTCTCAGGATCATGCTCAGGGCTGCAAATCCATCCCTTGCTCTTTTTACTTTTAGGAGAAGCTTTGATCTGGAAAGCATTTTGTTTAATTCATAACTTAAGAATATTAGCCTGAATATTTAAAGAGGCACCAACATAAAAACAAATACAGCTGTAATTTTCGACAAAAATAATACACTACAAAAATTGTGCCATTAAAACTCTCACCTGTGCACAGGCTGCCACTGCTGGCAGCCTGTGAGAGATGGGTGCAGGGCTCCATCCATCTCTCTTAGATTGCAGGGAGCTTTGATTAAATAAAAATTGGCTTTCACTGCAGAGATAACTCAAGGAGACAGAGATTCTACCTTGTATTTCTAAGGCCTTGTTGGAAGTTTTCACAACATGCTTTAATAAATCCTGAATCTCCTTCCCATGCCATTCCTGATATTTATATTTCTTTGCTGTCTTTCTTGCTGCTCTTGCTGGGCCTCTTGGCCTCTCCTGTGAAATGGGGGCAGCATGAGGGAGGGGCTCTCACTGGGTTTGGTGATCTGGTTATTTTTTCTTCTTTTTGCTTGATTGTGACTCCTCTTCTGGTCCTACAGAGTTGCATCAAGGCTGTCTTATTTTATGTTATTTTTAAAACACTGAACTCATTCCAAACCCCTCCATTATTCCTTGCAGGCTCAGAAAGTCTCTTAGCATTTGCCCTTAAGATGTGTACAATTGTCAGATCTGTGCTGTGTGTTTCCTTTTGCTGTCTTTTCTCTGGATCCGGTGGTAGTGAATGTGCCATGCTGCTCTGCAGGCACCAACATGAGGAAATAGAAGGGTTTTATTTCTGAACCTGACTGGTGGGAATTTAGGGAATGAGTTCCCGGGTGTAGTAGATGAACTTCCTGTGGTTCAGTGAGGAATCTGGAGTTGTGACCCAAAGCTTGCCCACATCTTGACACTTTCAGAGGGCGTCTTTTCTCTTTCTGTGAAGACAAGATGATATTGTGTGTGTGCGTGTGTGCTGCTGCCTGGTGCTTAGTGAAATATTTTATAATTTTATTTTTTCCTTTATTTTTTTCTCCAAGTCTACATTCTATCACAACTGGAATCTTCGCAGTGGAAATAATTTATCATTTTCCATTTCACTTTTTTTTTTTTTTTTAAATAAATCCATTCAGTACAATAAAAGCCAAGTAAAACTCTGTGTTTAAATAAAACAAGTTCCTTCAGTGCAAACTACTTTTTAACCTAATAATATTCTTGATACATTTTGTAAATCCAGCTGCGTCATGGGCTCAATTGCTCACTGGTTTGCCACTGTCCTCCAGATACTCAAACCTGCAAAGCAGTTAATTCCCTTATTATAGGAGAAGGAAGAAGCCGAAGGAGACAGTAATGGAATTGTCCCACTCTTGTGAATTCCAATTTCCTGTGCCCACGCACCTCCAGCTCAAAGTCACCTCAGGGAAAGTGGCAATTTCTCTCTTGACAGGGCTATATTAGGAGGCAGATGCTCCTTGGAGATATTTTGGAGCTGCATGCTCAGCTTGATTCCCCCCCAAAAATGCAGTTAATGGGAAGAAGGTGGCCCCAGTCCCACTCCCTGCTGTGCTGGCAGAGACCAGCCAAGCCCTGGGAGATTCTGGGAGTGGCACTGCCCAGCAAAAACAGGGGTGCCCCAGTGCTGCTCTGCTGGGCACTGGTGATGTTTCACAGGTGACATCCCACCGCCATCAGAAAAAAGGAGTACAGGGTTTGGTGCCCCAAACCCAGTCTGGGATCACTGAACCCCAAGGGCACCTGGCCAGGGAAAAGTTAGACAGGGATTAGGAATGGGAAATATTTATCCTGCAACAGCAATGGTCATTTCCTTTCTAGCCAAGCAGGAGGGAACAGTGGTGAGTTCCCAGACCATGTCAAGGGGATCAATAATAATCCTAGAGCTTGATGCCAAGAGTTGAGTACTGAAGCTTGGGATACAACCTAAGTTGAGAGCCCATAGAAGTGATGAGCTAAAGCAAGTGCACCCCACTCCAGGCACTGCTTCCCATGCCAGCACAGTCAGGACCACCATCACCCCCAGGAGGAAGGGGCAGCTGGGACTTGCTCAGACCACCTCCCAGCTGGCTGCAACATCCCCTTCCTACCTGGGTTAGGAGGAGATCTCTCAGGATCCATGGTCTAAGCCAAGTTTATCCTGTGGAATGATCCCCAGATTTGACCCACTTCTCCCTCTGCCTTGGCCCCCAGCCCTGGTGAAGCAGCTTGATTTACACCTTGTTTACCAGCCTGATGTCTCGTAGTGGGCTTTTGCTGTATTTCCACATCTTTTCTCATTCTGCCAATTCCTCTTTGTTAGTTTGCTCTCTGCCTTTCTTTAACGCCATATGTGCCTGGAAGCCACATTAACCTTTCCAGTAATAACCAAGACTAACCCAGAGCTCTTGTTGTTCTTGACACAGTGTATTGTAACGGTACAGTAATGTGGTCTTGTGTTAGTTGTGAAGTTCACCACCTGAAGTTTAACAGATGTCTGTATTTCCCAAGATGTTGGTATTGTTAAGCTCTTTATTGCAATAATTACAAATGGCACTGTGTCATAGGAGGCAGGGGCTTTGCAGAGGGGGAATTATACCATATCTATCCCAAATTCTCTGCAGAACTCTGCAGGGTCAAGTTAAAGAAATGGTATTTTCACAATGGTAAAAACTGGTTTATCTGTTCAGAAAGTTCCCTGCTTACCTAGACACAGTGGGAATTTATCCCTAGCCCTCAGGCAGCATGTTAGCCTGTGTGTGGGAGCATCCGTATGGCACCAAGATGCATGGCTGACATGGGGACACTGGGGTAGCGAGTGGTGACATAATTTGTAAGCATGGGTTGCCAAATCTCCTCTTAACAAAGTTAATGGAGAAGGATGGAAGATTTATCACTGGGAGTTTTCCAAGGCTGCCAGGGCATCTGTGAGACCAGCATCTAGAGAGGGTTGGCTGTGGAGACCTGGGTGCTGGGCAAGGTGAACAGGAGATATGGTGGGAGAGGAGGTGCAAAGGGGAAAAGCCTTTGCAGATATCTGAACAATTAGCAACCCTGCTTATAAGGTCATGCACTGGCTAATCCAGGTGCAGGAGCCCTGCACAGGGAACATTTACAACCTCTCTCTAAATCCTCTCTCTGTTCTAACAGCATTGGTGCTATTCTGTAGGATTTGGAATTATCTGTCAGTCAAAGCTGAGAAAAAAAAATTAAATTCCAGTGTCATTATTCATAAGCAAATCCATTGCAGGAAAAGGTAGAAACGTTGACATTTTTCTTTTTGAATGTGAATTATACATAAATGTAGAAGAAGTAAGTGATCCAATTACGATGGTGTTTCTTTCCGAGATGATAAGTTGGTTCATAAAAATAGGTCCTATTCCTAACCTAATTGTATTCAAACATTTTAGTTAATTTGCTAGTCATAATTTAGCATAATGTGATCGAGATATCTTGACTTTATGGAGATTTATGCAGATTCTGAGATATCTGACAAAGTCTTATGAGTGAGTCAGGAGCTACTAGTCTGCTTTTTTTTCATAAGCACTCAATAGATTCAGCATGAAAATTAATTTCATAAACCTTTTCATCAATACTGTGCTTTAGCACTCAGGTGCAGATCACCTAAAGCCCACTGCAGATCAGAAAGTGAATATTAATACTGTCTTTCATTTGATGACACTAAAACAGAATTTTGGGCCTTCCAAACCCCTACAGAATAAAACTGCTGAGTGTTTTTTCCCCTTTGGTCCCTGGGCTGGTAGGGAAAGGTCTGTCTCTACAGAAAAAAACAAAACTGATTTTTCAGGATCCTGCTATGAGGCAGGGAGCACATGAAACCTTTAAATCTATGGACTTGATTGCATTGTCATTGGCTATTGACCAAGTGAGCTCTATTTCCAGGCAAAATACAATCTTCTAAAATTAGTATTCCCCTAGGGCAACCCAAACCTGTGCTTCCTGGCATCATTTTTGCCAAAGTTTTTTCTTGGACTATCGAACTGTACATTTGTTCTGGAGCACTAAATATCAACTGTGCAATTCTTACAGCTCAATAATTTTCATAACCAGTTGATCATCTAATTATGAGGGTAATATTCTACTCTGACATTTTCAAGACAGCCCTTTCCACATCAATCTGCATTATAATGCCTCCTTGAAAATTGTACTGAATTATATACTCAGCCTTGGCATTTCCTCATTAGATATTAGGTGAGTAAATGAGTTTATCTCTAGGAACATTTGGGGTCTAAAGTCCATGTGTCATCCCTGAGGCAGCCAAACATGGGATGCAGTTGGACAGTGCAATCTGCGTTTTGATAATCTTGTCAAAATGGAGGACCGTTATTTTCTGATCACTAAGGCTCATTGATCAGTTTTCCTTGGTATTTTTATGGACCATTTTTCTGACAGCCAAGGTGTTGAATTCTGTTGTCTCTACAGTTTATAGCAAAGAACATCATATGCTTGCACTCTTTCTCTTTCAAAGACCACCACATACTCAATGGCCTGTGGTTTTAGGCAATTGTTAGTAAAATCTGTCCCTAGCAAATGACCATTAATTGGGCTTTCTAATGCTTTGGGGACTTTTAAGATCAACAGAAACAAAAATCGTTATTTTAATTTAAATTTAACTTAAATTTCCCTACAGAGAAAAATTCTTTTTAGCAGCACACTAGTCTCAGCTCACCTCATTCCTGATCCCTGATACAAGGCTGAGTATAGAGCATGTCCCACTGAAAATATTTAATGGATGTAAGATGACGAGAGCCCTGCTGCATATTAAAAATGGTAACATGCCAGCAAGGAAAAAAGGAAATAAAAAAGACAGTATTTTGCTGTGATTGGTCTAGAATTTATCATCTCTGTAGTTGGAGAGTGAGGGTGCATTGACTTGAGAAAGATGCAGAGAAATCCCTTGATTTGCCTCTCACTCTCCTTCCCGCTGCAGAAGCTCAGTGTAAGCCCTACTACTCGGATTACTCCCATTTCCGCCTCCTGATTCACCAGATGTGCACCAGCCACTACTTGGATCTGTTCATCACCGGCGTCATCGGCCTCAATGTCATCACCATGGCCATGGAGCACTACCAGCAGCCAAAGGTACTGGGATAGCCCGGGAGGGACAGACGGGGGGGATGTGCAGAGCTGTGCTGGGATGTGCTGTTGGGCAGGGTTAACGCCAGGTTTGCTGTCAGATGTCCACCTTTGCCAGTGGAGTGTAGCCATCCTACAACTGGCCCCCAGCTCAATCCAGGGCTTTTGGTACAAGGATCCCATTGCACCTCTCCCTTCTAGTTAAGTGCAAACTGACCACTTTGAAAATGGAACTGGGAGTGGGTTTGCTTGCTTTGCTAGATTTGATCATCATTGATATCTTCCATTTTACTCAGGTTTTACACCCACCCTCTCCCCCTGCCACCCCCCACCAAAAAAAAAAAAAAAAAAGAAAAGAAAAGAGAAAAAGGAAAAAGGAAAAAGAATAGAAGAATTTGGGAAATGGGGTTTTTTTTGCAAAGTTTCTTCTAAATCCCCAGTGTCACATAGAACCTATTTTTCACAGGAATTGGATTCCATGCTGGTCTTTAAAATGCATTTTAATATGTTAGTGTGCTTAATTCCTGGGTCTTTGTCATACTCTGAAAATAAAAACAGCCTGTCTGGAGATGTCAAGTCTTTTCTGCATAAGAATGAAAGGGAAATAGCTGCCTTTGCCACATAACTTGTACTTAATTTTATTAGTGACATTCAGAATGAATAAATATAACACAAAATAGGAGGAAACATTCTTTAAAATTAGACAGGATGTGAATACTTAATATAAAAAAAAAAACCCAAACAACTAAAACGTGTAAATGACAGGGGCAGGGGGAAATATTCTCTACTCTATCATAAGCCAAAAGTTAAAGGGAGTTAGCCCAATTTATTTTTTCTGTCCAGGTGACCTTTAAATACTCTGGAAGGCTCATTGCATAGTTCAGTTATTAGATGATGAAGCAGGTTGTTGGCGAAGGAGTCTGGGCTGGAGTCATTCTAGAGCACGTGTCTTACCGCAGTCGCTTTGCAGCTGCATTTTCCTTTGTATTATAGAAATGTTGGGCAGGCTTTTGTTTTTCTTTTTCTTCGGAAAAATAACATTTTGTCTCTAAGCCTCTGGTATGCAGTGTCTGGGTAGTAAGTCCAAGCTTGGGTTGTGCTGGGATGACAGCATGGTCAGAGTCATACACATGCTTGAGTCCTGCTGAATTGGGGCATGGAAATCCCTCTAGTCTGGATGATGGATGGCTGGGATCCTGAAGATATTTGAAGCCAAATGTACCAAAGAGATTTATATCCAAACTAGTGATTTCTTGGTGCTGAAAGGGGTTTGTTTTTGGATATAGCAGGATGCCCTGGGGATGACACCCCAGATGGAGATGCTGCAGCTCCTGGAGAGGGGGGAATGCTGCAGTGTGCAGAGAGGTGGCTTGAATAAAGAGCTGCTGAGCAAAATCTGCTTCTGCCAGCTAAATGTGCTCATTTGCTGCAGAGCGCAAGTGCCCTGCAGTATGGCAGGGAGGCTTGCTCAGAGCCACAGCTTCCTTTGGCAGCTGGGCTTGTGCTGCTTGGTCACATGAGGTGATTTTTGTCCATGGATGCTTGAAGCTAAACTGTAGCACAAAGGCAGAGTACATGACTTAAACTCCTTCTGCTATGATTTCTCCCACTCAGGGATCGGTAAATGTTGGGTTTGGTCTGTGAGCACATCTCCCCTGTTCCCTAACACTGCCATGGACATTGTTATTACCATCCTGTTTGCCAGCAGGGAGAAATTCAATGCACATTACTTAAGAGGTTGTGAAGGATGCTGCTACCACAGTGTTCTGTCATGAGTGAGGCTTTTGGGGATGAAATCACTTCTGATGTAGCTTGATGCCTGACTGTACAAGAGTTGTCCCAGCCAGGATGCACTTGGATTAAACACCAGACTGACTTCTTGCAGAGGGAAGGGGGGCAGAGGAAAATGCAAGGCACTTGCTTGCCCTGGCATGTCATCCCTCTGTTGCGCTCCTTGCCAAAAGCTCAAGGTGAGAAGTAATAGCAGGCTGTCACCAAGGAGCCATTTGGCCAGCACTTGCACAAATGGACAAGTGGGATGAAATTCAGCTCTCTGACAAAAGCACAAGAGATCTTGTGCTGCTGAGACCAGCAAATGCAGCAGCTCTTTCTGCGCACCCCAGCAATCCCAGCTGAGGCTGTGCTGCTGCTAGGGGAGTGAGTTGTGCCTTGGGCCTATGTCAGCCCCTCCTGAGATTCTATCACCAGGCAGCAAGTGTACTCCATGAATACCTGGGGCTTTTCCCTGGGACATTTTTCATCAGAGAGAGCCCATGTTTGAAGACGTTTAACTGTAATGGGTAACTGATGACATGAGAGTCAGGTTTGGAGGCAGCAAAGCACCTCTGCAGAACTAACATCTAACCCCAGTCCTGTGTCCACATCCCAGGTTCTTGACGAAGCCCTGAAGATTTGCAATTATATCTTCACCGTTATCTTTGTCATGGAATCTGTTTTCAAGCTTATTGCCTTTGGATTTCGCCGGTTCTTCCAAGACAGGTAACAAAAGATCATTGTAATCACAAGGTGAGCAGCAGGCTCTGTGGAGAGCTGCCCACATTCCATGTCCTGAATTCCCATGCTCTGGCCCATACTGTGAGTCTGATATGTATGAAGGCTTTTTGGAGTGACTGGTTGAAGGCTGGGTAGGAGGAGACATGGGATGTAAGCTAGAGGATGGATTGTGCAGGCCAAGGAGTGGGATTGCACCATTTTGGCCCTTGGGAGCAGATGAAGGAGGGACAGATCTCCACCAAGCAGCCAGTTCTCTTCTCATGCCAGTTGCGTGTCCATATAATCAAGTGAACCTGCTGAAGTGACAAAATTTATGTAAGAGGAAGAATCTATCCCTGAGTGAACACGAAAGATAGGACCTCTTTTTAGTGCAGATGAGGAGCAATGGATGACATTGTGTCTTTATCTAGATTTTCACTCTCTTACTTCACAAACACAAATCTTATGTCCTTGGTGGATCTTTCTCCCATTTTTGTCTTCTTCAATGTTAATACCAAAACCAGGGCATAAAGCAGGCCTTCACATGAGCCCTTCAGCAACCAGTGGATGGTTCCATCCCTATCCCCACATTTTGTGTGTCCATGCTGGAATTAACAGTTTCTCCAGCCTGGCACAAATCCTTGGGGCCTTTCTTTCACCAACACACCTTTTTTTCCAAGGACTGGACATGGGGTCCTGGTCTCTCTGGGGCGGATCTCACATCGAGGTCCACAAGTGTCATGTCTAGAAGTGGCTAGACAGACAACACAGTGTCTCTCCTGAGGTTTGGAGTCTCTGGGTAAAAAACTTCCCAGCTTTTGTTCCTCTTTCCCCTCAGTCAAGGATATCTTTGGAATTGGCTGGTTTTCTAATGAGATGTATTAGTTATAATGATTTCATAACATCACTGCTTTTGTATAATACCCTCAGAAAAATACTGCAGATTCATTTGAGTTCTCAAACCATTGAAATGACTGGAATTCGTGTGAAACAGGCTGCCTCCCATTGCCAGCTTCTTAGTAGATGTTAAACTTCACTTTTTGTTGTCTCCAGATGGAACCAATTAGATCTGGCAATTGTGCTGCTTTCTATCATGGGCATCACTTTGGAAGAGATCGAGGTGAATGCTTCACTACCAATTAACCCCACGATTATCCGGATCATGAGGGTTCTCAGAATCGCCCGAGGTGAGAGGGATAAAGCAGAATTTACTTGTGTTTGAGGTATGTGGTTGGCACCAGGAGAGAGTTAAGCATTGAGAAACAGTCCTGGGGTACATCCCCATCATGATGTGCATATTTCTGGCATCACAGGCTGTAAACAAATGAAAAAACAATGGGGAAAAATACTTGCAAGGAGCCAAAAAGCTGAGCCAACTGACCATGTGTTTCTGCCTTAAGAGATCTTGAAGGCTGAGAGCTTAGAAATTAAGGAGAAGTAGCTGTGGCAGTAACTCCCAGAGATGTACCTGGGAAAATTGCTCCAGTCAAATCAAAGTCATCTCTAACAGGGATTAGAGAATACAAGCTTGAGTACATTGGCTTTAAAAGATGAGCATCTAATAATTTTAAATTCCCATGAGGCTTTACATCACACCACTTGGTGACATAGCATGCCTTGTCACACTGTATCCATCTGTCCCTTCAAACATGTTCCCAAGTCAGGGAGCCAACTTCTTCAGGGATTGAAGAAGTTGATTTTTCAAAACAGGGAGGTGTCAGGGCCAAATGTTGAAGATGTAAAATGTGAGTGCTCAGGCCCTTAATGAAGTACTTCCAGGCCCTCCTGAAGGGTATTGTGGTCTGAGGAAGAATTGTTTTTATTATAGCCCTCATCTAAGCAGAGAAGGAGCTGGAGGAGAAATTAAATGTTGCTGTCTCAAGAAGGGGGAAAAGTGGGTTTTCTGTGCATTGGATCCCTTTCAGAATTAAAAATACATGCAGCTTCCAATTGGAAAAGCAGCCTTCTGGAAGAGATGTGTAAATCATTCCTCAGTGAATCACGTACGAAAGTGGGTAGCCTATGGAAGTGGGAAAGTAGCCCCAGGGCTGGGAAAGGAACTGCTCATGATTACCAGAGGAAGGAGATGAGTCTAACACAGATAAAGTGGGGAAGGAAGAGCCAGGCAGAGTGATAACACTTTCTCCAAGTCTCAGGGTAGGTGATGCTGCTATTCATGGGATTTTGATAGTATCCAGGCAACAATGAATGATGTAAAAAGGCCAAGGAATGTAGCAGCTAATGGAGAACACTTGACAAGATTCCATGTTTCTCTTCCTGTAATCTGTGGCTCCTGGGAGAGGGTCTGAGTTTATGCCTCTGTGCTAATGCTGCCGTTACCATACTGCAAATGTGTTTTCCACAGTGCTGAAGTTGCTGAAGATGGCTGTGGGGATGAGGGCCCTTCTGGACACCGTGATGCAAGCGCTACCCCAGGTAACCCACTGCCATATCAAACCAGAGCTCCTCTGGCCCACAGCTCATTTCCTATTGCAGAGGAATGCTAATAATTTTATCTTTACTGTCATTAGAGAATCACATTTCCCTCCCGAAGCACTGAGATACAGTCCCCACATTGAGGTCATTTTTGCCCTGAAGCAATTTAAGTTTTGGAATAAAGAATACAGCAAGAAACAGGTCTGGAACAAAAAAAAAAAAAAAAAAAAAAAAAAAAAAAATCAATGAATGTTCTTTTTTTTTGTGTTTTTTCCCCCCATTTCTTTTTCTCTTTTCAGGTGGGAAATCTGGGCCTTCTCTTCATGTTGTTGTTTTTCATATTTGCAGCTCTTGGAGTGGAGCTGTTTGGAGACCTTGGTGAGTCTTCCTGTGCCAGTGGGAGGGGTGGGAATGGTGTTGGAGTGGGGGGTCTCACAGCTGTGCTTGGTCTTACAGAGTGTGATGACACACACCCCTGCGAGGGGCTGGGACGGCATGCCACATTCAGGAACTTTGGGATGGCCTTCCTGACCCTATTCCGAGTATCCACAGGAGACAACTGGAATGGGATAATGAAGGTAAGTGTTAAGTTTTTGTCAGCAAGTGTATTGCTGTTCTAGATGTGAAATTTTCCAAATCTTCTCAGTTTTCTTCATGAAAGGACAACCCATTGCAGACTGTGGTTCATGCTGCAATCTCTTCACATCCCTCCATCTCTTAGTGTCATTGTTTAGTTGATAAGTTGGTGTTAGGTGATAGGTTGGACTTGAGGATCTCCAAGGTCTTATCCAGCCTGGCTGATTCTGTGATCATTCCCCCACTGTTTCCAGGACACACTGCGTGACTGTGACCAGGAGTCCACCTGTTACAACACTGTCATTTCCCCCATCTACTTCGTCTCCTTTGTGCTGACAGCCCAGTTTGTCCTGGTGAATGTGGTGATTGCGGTGCTTATGAAGCACTTGGAGGAGAGCAACAAGGAGGCAAAGGAGGAGGCAGAGCTTGAAGCAGAACTGGAGATGGAGATGAAGACCATCAGCATTGGCCAGCACAGCCCGTCGAACATCTTTGCATGGACAGGCACCACCAGTGGAGAGAGACCAGAGAACCCCAGCGGATTTACCGATCCCATGCAAATCAAGGTGGATTCTCAGCTCTCACTAGCTTATCATATGGTGAGAATCTCTGTTGGAGGGTGAGGAGGGCTTGACCTGCATTTTTGTTGGGGAAGACTTGCATGAGTTGGTAGTGAAAGAGGCATGTACCAGATGTTCTGGGCTTGTATTCCCTGCTGTCTGCTGCTGACTCTTTTGTGGTTTGGGAACCAATGCTGCAGGGAAGAGACAACAGGCAGTCTCCAGTCCACCTTGATGCATCTGTTTGGAGGAAGAGAGTTTTGCAATTTACTCTGGAGGTCAGCTCAAGCTACAGAGTTCAGAGCTAGCTCCAAATTTACTCTAATTCAGAGTTTTGACTGGTCCTTTGTGATAGCAAAATCATGAGCATAATGTGTTTGCTTTTCTAATACAGACCATGAGCCCCAACATAAAAGAGGAATAAAACTTGCTAATCTTTGCTTCAGTATTAAATTTGTTTTATGTAACCTCCATTTAATATCCATCCCCACAGTCAGGCTTGTAAGAAAAGATTCTCTTAACAATAGAATAATCCAGAGGAGACTCAAACCTGAGCTCACCAGAGCTGATGGCAGAACTCCCACTAGCAGCAGCATGCTGCTATGAGCTGCACCACGTCTCCCTAAAGCACAGTTTTTGGATGAAGACTCAGTTTGAGGAATGAGAGGTGAGATCAAGCCCCAGACAAGTTATTTGGGAGGTCACTGAGCTGAAATTACTCAGGAAATACAGTCCAGCCTTTTTTTAGTCTTAGCTGATTGCAGATAGGGTTAAACTCTCTGCAGACCTCATTAACTTTTATTACATCAAGATTTCACAACAGCATGTCTTGGCCACAGCCTGGGGTAGACTAATGCATATTCTAATGCATGAAAAACTAATTTATGATTTTTAGTCCAAGGGTGAAAGAGAGTAAATCCCCACTTAATCTTTGTTTCAGTTCCTAAGCTACTGGAAATTTCTGGTGCCATTAGAATCTCTGATGTCTGAGATAGAGTCCAAAGCTGCTCTTTGGCTCAGGAAAAAGGACTTCAGGGCCCTATGGGGAAATCCAGATTTACTACGTCCTCTGAGAAGAAACAACGTGTCCCAACTGGTGCTGTGTGTGTTGAGCAGAGTACTGGCAAACTGTCCTCATCCCTGTTGTCCTGCACCAGCACTGAAACTGGCAAAAAAGAGAAATTGCAAAATTGTGAGACAAATCAGTCAGAATGATACCCTCACTCTGCAGTCTGTTAAACCTTCCCTCTCTGAAGGCAGCCCGGGAAGGGGTTTATTCCAGTAATAACCTTCAGAGTGTGTTTCTTGCTCTTTCCCTCAAACAGAAGCCTCAAAAACCTCCAGGAGATCTTATTCTGACTATTTATTTTCCCAACAAAAATCTTCAGGACAAATCTGATGCTTGAGCTTGATAGCAGAGGAATACAATTCCCAAGACACAACCCTGCAATGACAGCATGCTCTTTTGCTTGCCTCATTCCTGGGATTTTTGCACTGTGTGCTGTTTGACTGTAGCGCTGGTCCTCATCTCATTGTATGCGTTGGGCATTCCCTACATGGAAGGTGCACCCTGAAATCACTCCCCTGCTGCCTGCAAAAGCCAGACCCTGCTCTGTACAACCCCCATGCTGTGGCCGGCTGGTTTAACATTGGCCAGACTACTGGGGGCGCCTCAGCCCATGTCTGGCATGTGAATTAGTGACCTGACATATGTCCATCCTGCTCAGTTGCAGCTTCCATGGACAGGACATTCAGCTTCTCTTCAGTCAGGTTATTTTAATTTCTGTGCCTTCTGGATATGGTGTCAAGTATTAGGTCCTGCAGCTCAAAAGCATGGACCATGTGTGTAGAAGTCTACTGTAGAAGTAGTGTCCTGTTGAAGTTGACAGTACCAATGGAAAAATGCTGCTCAGCCCCCAGAAATGACTGGCCATGTTTGATGAGAGGGAGATTGTCCCCAAGAAGGGCCCCGGGTGGGAGCAGCCATGGTCTTGGGGCGGTTGCCGTTGCCCCATCTCTTGTAATGTCTGGGAAAGCTGTCTCTGCTCACCGTGATATTACTGCACTGTTCTCTCTCCTTTTCTCCTGTCCCATTGTTCCTGTTACTGCTGTTCTCATTGAATGTTTCCACCTATTTTTCCCCCCCTTCTATTTTTTTCCCCTCATTTTGTTCGTTGGGTTTGAAATGCTGTCCTTTTTTTCTCTCTGTCTCTATCCCTCGCCTTTTTCCTCCTCTCTTTTTGGCTTGCTCTCTCTCTCTCTCTGCATGCTATACACCACCCTTCCTAGGAAAGGCACTTGTTTGATACCATATCACTGCTGATCCAGGAATCTCTGGAAGGAGAGCTGAAGCTGATGGACAACCTGTCAGGCTCTGTGTGCCATCATTATGCCCTCCCAGCTCCCGAATATTACAACTCTGAGAACCAGGTTAATATTCCTAATTTCCTGCGAAGTCTCCATCCAAACTCAATTTGACTGAGACCTTTAATAGCAAGTTAAAGTTCTTTATGTAATGCAGTCACAGGGATTGGGAAGCATAAGTCACTTTGGCTTTTTCTGTGGGATTAGATGATGTTGTATATCAAGGCAAGAGGAAGAGAACATGCTCGGACTTTCCCTTTCCCCTTTCAACACAGTAAGAATTTTTTCATTGGGATTTACAGTTCATGGGTGTTAGAGGGGAAATGTGCAAAATTCCATCTCCATCCTTCAGTGTGGTTCTTATATTTGGCTTCCTGCTCCTAAGCAGGGCTCCACAGCAATGTCAGGGAATGTCTGCAGAGCCTGCAGTGTGAGGTTTTCTCAGAGCAGAGCCTGAGTTGCTGGGGTTCATCCAATGATCTCTGTGTTCTGTGCCTACTTGTACTGCATGAAAATCCAGTTTTGAAAGGTTTTCCTCAACAGCCTTCTTGCAAATGGGTCACTGTAAACTAGATCCTCATCTCTGATCTAGTGAATTTGGGAGGGGAGGCAGCCATTAATGATGCACAGAAGTAACTGTGTGCTTCAGTGCTTTCTCAAGCAGACAGTGCTTGTTTAAAATTAGTCCACTTATTTCCTAGAATAAAATACCTACTTTTTGAAGTGCATTGTTCTTTAGAGCAAATATTTTCCCTAAAAGACAGCAGTGACCATGATAACAATTCAAGCATACCTATTTTTTGCTGCAGTTGGAATTGAGCAAATTCCATATTTCTTGATCTATTCCCCCCTCTCCTCCCACCCCCCAACCCCGTCTAAAAATAGCAGAAGTCTTCGTGTTAAATCAGTGTGCTTGTTTATGAGCTCACTGACACTCTAAATTACCCAACTTTTGATGGTTCATTAGAGGAAAGGAACAAGCTTAGGTAAAATGAAATCCTACTGCAGATCTTTATATAGCAGGATAACATGTCTCCCTCTGATTGCTCCATATTGCATCCCAGGGTCTATTAAGCTATAGGAAGTGGTTGTCTCTAATAATTGCCAGAGGAATAGAGATCGTAGCTTTGGCAAGGAAGACAGAGGGTCAGTAGGAAACTCAGTGAGAGCTGGTTGAAAATTTTTTGTCACAACATTTTTCATCAGAAAGTGCTGCTGCAACAAAAAAATGGCTTTGTTCTGACATTTTTGTAATGAAAAAATATAGCATTCCAGTTTGCAATGGCTTTTTCTTTTAAAATTTAAGCATTTCCCCACCTGCCCCGCCCCCCCCCCCCCCCCCCCCCCCCCGTCTATAATTAAAACTGGTCTAAATCAGCTAGATGATTCCAACAAAATGTTTTGACAGCTTCAAACTCAATTTTGGATTTGGGAAGGCTGAAGTGGGGTGATGTTTTGTTTACATTTTGGCTTTTCTGTTCACACCATTTGTCATGTTCTCAGGCAACTCAGGAATTCAGAGCAGTGCTGGGACTTGATGAAAGCAACCTGATTAATAGCAGCTCCTAGCAGGGCAGTTCCAGCAAGCAGGAGCTGCTGGAGTCCACCATGCTGCTGCACAGCTTTTTTCTGGCTCTGGTTGGTGGGTCCCTTTTAGGGATTCCTGTCCTTAGGCCGGCAGCCTTCACAGTGATGCCTTTTAGGGGAGCCTCATATTAAATCAGGGGCTCCAAATCATCTCTCTTATCCATTGCCAGCAGATAAGTGTGCTAGAAGAGATATCAGAGCTGAGGTTAGATGAGAGGAGCCCGTCCCTCTTACTTATCTCAGCTGAATTTTGAGACTCTCCAGGCTCACTCATCGCTGGGTTTGTTCCATCCTGCGGCTGCCATTTCTAAGAGTGAGAAAACCCAGTCCTTTGACAACTTCAATGCAAGAGATCTGGGCCTCTCTGTTTTCTCTTGGAAGATTTATTGCTGCTGAAAGACTTTTCAAGCACAGAAGATGGCAAAAAAATGCACAGTGAGAAATGAAAAGGAAGCACCTGGGACTTACCTAGAGCAGGCAGCCCCTGCGAGCATGAGCTGGATTTGGAGGTTACCTGGTGAAATGCCATTCCTGGTGTCATAAGCACTGTATCCAGGGAGGGGATCTGGGGAGAACTGAGCCTGCTGCAGGGCAGACACCCCCTCTTACAGTGCCTGGCAGCAGAACTGCTGCTCTGGGGGAGATGCCACTTGTCCTCTTTTCCCCCTCTTTTTCTTCCAAAATCTGAAGTGACATTTTCACATTTCTTATAAAAAGACCTCTGTTTCTAGGGAGAGAGCTTCATCAATGATTTGATAAGGCCATTCATAGATTGTTTGAATGTCTTCAGTGGGGATCCATGTGCGCAAGATGCATGAAAACAGGAGCGTGGCTGTGTAGAGCCGATTCCCAAGTCAGGATTTCTCAGCGCCAGAGGAGACAGCTGGGACCAGGTCTGAGGGACATTTGGGGGCTGAAAAAAGCATTTGGCTCTTTTAGTAGGTCAGTTATTGGTGCCACTGGTGTCACTGGCTTATAGCCAACCAAAATGAGCTGAAAGCACCAGAAAGGTGTTTGCTGACCAAAATAAAGTTTTAAGTTTCTCCCTGTGCCCTTTTATCTGTGAGGAAGTGAATTATGGTCCCACCTGCCTCTTGGGGGGGGAAGGGGGAGTGGTGGGGGAAAGTGGTCCCTGCAGCCTCCCTGGGGCACAGGGAAAGGCACACTCCATACCCCACCCAAAAATATGGTGTTGTTGTTGGGGAGTCTTTGGAGACTCAACAAGTTTATCTTAGAAACCAGGATGGTTACTGGGGGGAATAACTTCAGAGAAATCAGATCTTGAAACCTCTTGTATTTGATCACAGCCAAGAGGATTAATCTCTCTATTATGAAAGCAGTGTTACTTTTGCTTATTGATGTAGACAAAAGAACGGCAAAATACAGTGCTAGCATTAGTGTATGGTTTTAAACCCTCTCCCAGATCCTTGGTAAGCACTAAAGTATGAATGTCCCACTCCTTTTTTAATTTCTTCATTATATTTAATTTCTTTAATGTTCTGTCCCTGGTAACAATGTGTATGATGTAGCTCTCCAACTGCAGGGATATTGCTTTAGTGTCTAGAAGTATTTAGATTGTGATACTTTTTTTTTCTTTTTTTAATTTTCTTTTCTGAAAGATTTGTGTCCTGGTTTCTTATGTTTAATCATTTCTCCCTTTAGATCCCTCTAGCTGAGATGGAGGCTCTATCTCTGACGTCAGATATTCTCTCTGAAAAGTCCTGGTCCTTAGCTCTGACGGATGACTCTTTTCCTGATGACATTAACACACACTTACTTAATGCTCTGGAAAGCAATGTACATACACTGGTCACTGTGTAGTCTGATGTTTACAGGGTTCGAAATACTGCTCCCATCTCTCTGCAGCTGCCTAATGGCATTTCCAGTTCCAGCCCCTTCCCAAATAGCACCAACCTCTTCCCTGAACAGGATGCTGTCCTTAATGCCATTAGGTCCTGGGTTTTATCACTCTTGTCCACAATCTTGGCTCCTTGCAAGGAATGAGTGGTTGTTTCAATTTTTCTTTTTGGTGTCTTATGTATAAACAATGTGTTTTCTACAAGTAAAATAAGTAGTAAAAATAAAGAGGCTTTGGAAAGCAGCAAGGTTGAAATTTCCTCCCCATCTGAAACAAATCAGTGATGAGCTAATGATCCATGTCCTCTACTGAAGGGTCAGCCCTAACACTTTGATTTGGAGTGGATTTTTGTCATTATGAACACAGGCACCACAAGGCTTTTTGCATGATTGGTGCCAGACCGTTTCTTTTACAAATATCAAATGGGGATCTCTCCAAGATGATACTTGTTTCACAAAATCTTTCTAGCAGCCACTATGCTGAAAAAATTTTAAAAATTGACTATTCAGTGGTTTTTTGACTGACATAACCAGTATTTTGAACCCTGCCTTCACCATCTCCTCTTTGAAACATTAGACATTTTTAGCTGTGTAACAGTCAAGTGCTTTTTTTCTGCTGTACAACAGACATAACTCCTTTCTCAAAATTTTAGATCATTCTTGTTTTCTTTGTTGTTGTTCATGTACCTACCTTTGGATGTTTGTGTTGTTCATAAATTTTCTGCCATATTAGTTGACTGTCATCCTAATTAGCACTTATTTGAGAAAAATTTCTTAAACCGTGACAATATTTCCCATCATGCTTCATGGCATCCTGTGCAAAAGATTTTGTGGACTCCATTTTACTTCTTGTATGAGGCTTTTTGTTTCAAAATTAGTATGGAGAGTTGTACAGAGGAGAAACCCTCCTAGTTTTGAATCAGATTAGACAATCTTGTTTGACAGCACTGCAAAGTCTCAAAGGTACAGCCAGGAAAGATGTTTTTTCTCCCCTCTCCAAAAAAAAGGCAAAACTGTGTTGAACAAAGGGGTTTGTGAATTTTTATCCATACCAAAAAGTTTTTGGTCACAACAGTTGCCCAAACCCCTGAAAAACTGCAAGCTTTCATTGAAATATCTTCTAAATGCAATATTTTTACACTTCATTTAGATGTGGCTTTAGTTGAAAAATATTTGGATTGGGGTTTTTTTGTTTGGTTAGTTGGTTGCTTTGGTTTTTGGTTTTGTATTGTTTTTGGGTTTGTTTTTTGGTCTGTTTTTTTGGTTTGTTTTTTTTTTTTGGTTCAAGGAAAACTTGGATTTTGTTTTCAGTCAAGCCAAAACAACATGTTTTTCAGAAGTACCACTGTACCAAAAAGTCATGTGCTCCCACTGCACTGTAGCCTGACCTGGGAAGATCATTTTGCAGCCATTTTCAATGGTTTTCATGAATTTCACTCATGAAATTTGCCCCAAGATTATCCAAAAGTGGAAATAACCCATATTGGATCCAGATGAACCTAACGGTTCACTGAAGGTTGGATTTGGATGGGATCTCAAATCCAAGTTCTCATGTTCAGATTCAGGTGAGTCTGAGTTTGAGATCTCAGGTTTCAGGTCACCTTTTCTGCTGTAAGCTCAGTAGTATGACAGCAAAACAGCATGAAGTGGGTAGAAGGGGAAGGCAGGGAGGGACAGAGAGGTTCCCAAATCCAAACTCTCAGCTTTACCAGCACAGGTTTTGCTCTCCTTTCCCAAGCTGTATCAGGAGATTGCAGTCTCCCTGATCTAGTCTGTGTCCAAGCTCTATCCAAATCAGCAGTACTGAAACAAATGCTGTGTGGCAGTGCAGACCTGTTTTGTTCATTAAATTAAACAGTGATCTCCTTTATTCTTTTTGCAAATTCCTTTTAATCTCATCCTGTTTCTTATGCAAATAAATGCCATCATGAAATTTTGTTTTTATGACTGAAGGATAAAATTGGGATCAAAAAAATCTGTGTTGATTCCAGAAAATCTATAATGCACTGAGTGAAGGGAAAATTTTTCAGAAAATAAGATCTAAAGTTTTCCAAAAATGATCAGCCAAATATCGTACTAGACTACAGTGGCACAAACTTACTCCTGTGTTTTTCACTTGAGACATTTTAACAATTAAATAATTGTTTCATTAGAAATACACTGGGAAGATGACTTTGCTTCCATTTTTGCTAATACTCTCCATGACAATAACACCCAAGAACATTTCTGGGATGGAGATATTTTCTTATTAAATCAGAGCTGAATCCACTTAATATTGCCTCTGGGGCTGCCCCTTCCAAGAGTCTCTTTGGCTGTAAAAAGTCCACAGTCAACATATATACAATAACCCTTGCTTGCATTAGATCCCTTCTAATTAGAGAATGGCTTTCACCCTGAAGCAGTAGGTTTAGATATCCTTTTCAATAAAATAGGTTTAGTTATTCATTATGTGAGAAGAAAATCCAATAAAATTGTGCTGTGCGCCAGAACAGAAAATATTTTTTATAAACTAGTTTTTGCATTTGGGTTGGGGTTCTTTTGTTTGTTTTTCTTTCTTTTAATGTTAAAAGAGGAAACTACTCACCTTTGCAAAAGCCTGTCTTGCTGATGAGGGCACCTAGAGAGGGTTAAAGTTCTGCCAAGCATGTGACCTTTGCTGACCTTGAGGCATGATGCCTTCTTTGCATATCTCTGAAATAGTCATGGTTTATTCCTACGTTGTGGCTTCCTGTTTCTGTGATCCATTATGTGAGAGTTTATTGACAACCCCGACAAAGGGGGATGGCTCCCTCATAGATCCATTCGTGCACCCTGTGCATGCCCATCGTGCCATCCTGGTTGCAATGGCTGTCACTCGCGTTTCTGGGTACTTCTCCTCTTTCCCACCCTTCCACACCTGCCTTCCTCACATTTTTCTTCCCCTCAGGCTGATCTCCGCTCCAAGGACGACACACTGACCCTGTCCCCCAGCAAGGACCTGCTGAGTGTGAGGAAGCCCTCGGTGGGACGCACCCACTCCTTGCCAAATGACAGCTACATGTTCCAGCCGCCCTACTCCAGCCCCTGCCCTGCCTCCCTGGGCAACAGGAAACCAGCACATCACAAGTCCCAGTCAGGTACACCTCTCTCAGCTGGGACAAGAGTAGGATTTTCCAATGGGGCAAGAGTTGTGGTTTCCCACGCTCTTCAGCAGGAAGGAGAAAATTGCCACTGGTTTCCAGTCGTGTGTTTAGACCTGTGGAATGGCTGTCAAAAGACTCTCCACAACTTACAAAGACCCTCCACAATTTACAATGCCCTGTTTAAGATAACTCCTTTCCTCAGAATTTTTTGACAATGTGACATTGGCCTGGCTCAACACTGATTGTATCCTGCCTGGTTCCCTAAGGTTACAGTCCCTACAGCCTGGGCTCCATCTGTTCCACCAGGCCCCAGAGGAGAAATCCCAATAGAGAAATATTTCCTCCTGTCTGTTTTTTTGCAACAGTACCTGTTCAGATGCTCTGTCTGGGAACATCTGTGAAAGATGGGAAGAAGGTGTCTCTAAATGCCTATAAAATAGACATAAATATGCTGAATTGAGAGACATGTTGGTGTGAGATGAATGGGAAAATGATAGAATATGGAACTGTTCTTCCCAGTGTGCATGGTTGGGATATACATCTTGGAGCTAAATTCAGAGATATTCTTAGGTACAGGGAGGGCTCTCCCTGCCTGCACCTCTGTCCCCGTGCTTGCAGTTGCCTCCCAGAACTTGTCTCTGTACCCCCAGTTCTTCTGCCTGCCAGGGGTTACCTGGGGCTGGGAAGTGAATGGAGCCACCTTTAATTTGTCTGTACATGCCATCATTTTAGAAATTTGTCACCAATAAGACAGTGAAGTTTTTACAAGCATTGCTGTTTGAAAGCCTCTAAGCAAAACATAATTTCAGCAATGTTCAGAATGGTAGGAGATTTGAATAGATTAGAAATAAGATGTTGAAATTTGCATAGTAAAAAGAATTTGGATGAATAGCTACTGTTGAACAGAAGCAAAAAAAAAAAAATGTGGGCACAAGGAAGGAAGATGAATCTGGTGTTCTGAGAAATCTCTGCCACAATACGCAATTCTCAAGGTCAAGAGTGGTGTTTTGAAGAACCTGTTTGCACATAATGCTAATGGTGCAGCTAAAATCCCATAGAAAGCAATAGCAAATCTCCCATTACCTTCAGTTGAGCTAGAATTTATGGGTCTCTGTAGCAGTCAAGAAATTCCTGGCCATATGAAAGTATCATGTTTGCTGCAGAGGGAATTTCCAGTGCTTCATTGTTGACCTTTAATTGGGATGTATTTGCACTGTCTTGAACAAAAATTACATCAGCAAGGGACTGGGTAATTTATGAGTCCCTTCTTTTTCAAAATTTCACTTCCCAGTTTCAGTTCGGAGAACCTGAATAGCCCTATCTGACAGCCCTGGCTTTTTGGGGACAGGCATTGCACCCTTGTAAATCCACAGGAACAACTGTTCCAATGAGGTGTATCAGAAATACTTTGGAGAGGTAAAGCTGATGCCTTATAACCTGTTGCGCTGCCACCTTTGGTCCAGCAGCAAGGCCAGATGAGCCCAGGCACGTTCCATCTGGTAATATTGGGATCCTATTCCAATAATAACCACAATAGACAATTAAACCTTTTGTGTTTTTCTCCTGATGGTGAAATTCCAATCATCTTCAGCAGGCCCTAGTGCTGGGAGGTGTGTAAGGTCCCCACATTCTGACATATCACTGTCCTCTTCCACCTACAATGTCACTGCTTTTCAGGGTGGGGGAAGTCACCACCACCTGTTTACAGTTTGTAATATTATAGAGTGCAGTGAAGACAGCAAAAGGTGCCAGGCACCTCTAATAAATCACCACAACCAAGCCACAATATTTCAAGCTGGGAAGGTTTTGTTGTCAGAAACACTGGCACTTGCAGGAGGCATTTGTTTGAATACTCCTTGGTAATGGGGCTGTTGCTCTGGGAAAGATTCCAGGACAAATGAAATTCTCTGGGATGCAGTCCAGATTAAATGAATTGTTTTGAAAAACATTTAGCCTGTGTGTGAGGGGAGCACACAGAGTTTCAAACCTTTTAGAAGTAGTAGCCAGCAACCATGAAGGGTCAGGAAGAGGTTGGAGAGTATGTGTTTCCTTCTTCTGGGAGGCTTTGCAAAACCAGCCTTGAGAGCTGCCAGGTGCTGTTTCCTTTCACTTCATTTCCAGTGTGTGCATGCTGGTTTGGAGATCCCAGCAGTTGGTCTCCATGCGGGTTCAGGCATGGGGACACCTCCAGCCTTTCAAAGTCAGATGTTTGCAGTGCTCAGAAGTGAGGCTGCCTACGTAGTTATTGGCCCAAAAGCAGAGATGCAGGAATTGCCACTTCAGATGAACTTGTAGTTCCTTGTCTTCTGTTCTCAACAGGAGCTAGTCCCAGTTGTATCAGGGGAAAATGCCAGGAAAAATGAAATAATAGACAATGCTGGAGTAATTTATTAGTAGATGGGAGTTTTTTTCCCAGTTCTGGAGAGCCAATTGCTGAATTCAGTGGTTTTGCTGTGCCTGTCTGATCCAAGGTGCAGCAGAGCAGTTTTCCCTGGGAGGTCACTGAGGTTGGGACACAACCCTTGGATGAACACATCCCATTTCTGCCTCTTCTCCCCCTTGCAAGGTTCAAAGGCATCGGTGCAGTCACAGCCGGCAGACACCAGCTCCCTCCTGCAAATTCCAAAGGACCATTTCCACCATGTAAGAGCTCACGACCACTTGGTGGGGGAGAGCAAGCCCCGGGTCTCCCAGCAGGCACACTCCCCTTCTGCTGAAAGGCTGCTCCGCAGACAGGTAAGCAGACTTATGATCATAAACCTGCTGGGCTTTTATATTGATGCATTTCCTGGTTAACCATCCTTTAAATTCAAGGAGGGATTCACAGAGAAACCTCCAGAGAACTGTAATTCTCCTACAGAAATAACAAAATGGTTGGTGGTTTTTGATCTGAAAGCCATCCAGGAGTCTCCAAAGAACGCGCATTATGAGTATCATGTCCTTTGGCAACATGCCTAAATGTTCTCCACATTGTTAGCGTTTATTTTTTTAAATCCTCTTCATAAATGCAGCCAAATGCTCCTCAGGGGCTTGTTGGGGTTGAGAAACTCATTCTTAACTGCTGTGATTTTTTTGGTGCTTGAAAGGACACAAGGATTGCAGGCTCCATCCCAGGCCAGCCCTCCTCTGACTCCTCTTGTTTTCCAAAAGAGAAGTGTTTCATGGAAATTGGTTATCTCATATGCATCCATCATGAGATGCATACTAGTTTTACAGTGAGAATTGAAAATTAAAATATTTTTTCATCAACTGTGAGCTTTTAAAAAGTTTGACTTTATGCACAGCAGAACATGTTTTATTTTGTAGCCAGTTTTATCTCTGGTTTTTGCCTGGCATTGATTTAAATCCTGATTCAATCAAAGATCTAAGGGATCTAATCAAAGATTCCAGTCTGGTTGATTGGAAGCATAAGTTTAGACTTATCTTTTTTTAGTAAAATACTTAAACTTGTGCTTCACTCTCACATTTTAAGCATATTTCAATGATTGTGCAGCTGGACCAGGACCAGAAGCACATCTGATTCAAAAACTCTGCTTTTTTCAGTATTTCCATGCCTTATTTTACATACACAAAGGGGATCAGTTCTATTTTTTCAAAAGCAATTTCTTTCCTGTATAAAAATATTCCCATTTCTTTCATCTTTTAATCAACATTGACAAATTAGACAGTTGATTCATTAAGCTCTAGAAATGGATGTGAAGTACCAAGGTTAACAATTACATTAGTCTGTAATACTAAATTGACATAAGGAATTCCTTGCATGTATTCATCTGCATGGGGTTGGCCAGCTATCCCAATCACCACTAATGGGGAAACTAATTGATGTCATGATTCCAGTTCATAACCACTCTCTCTTGCTTTCTAATGAATAACAGACCCATCCTTTCAAAGCGATCTAGCCAGAATGAATTACCATGTTAGCCATCTTCTCCAGTCTAATTTTGTTCACCTCTTTGATGGCTTCCTTTTGTAGACCTTTTCATAAGTTTAAGTCAATTTATTGTCCTCCTTTTCTCCCTCTCCTTGCTCCTTCAGTGACATGAACATGCTCATGGAGTGACAGGTCAGAGAGCAAAGAGTTTTGTGGCAGTGAGCTGATACAGTCCATTGGCAAACCCATGAGGGGTTGCCTTGGGCAGGCTCCTGAGCAGCAAGGAGCTCCCAATCTGGCTAATGAGAGCAGTGAGGTTTTGCTGGTGATATTGGTGTTACTGTTAATTGCAATCTAGATGGCCAGACACTGGGAAACTTGGTCCTTTAAAAGGCAAAATTCCCTTTGCAGCCGCAGCACTTCTGCTTGCTCAAGTGCTCTCTACTTGACTCCTTTTTATTGCTACCACTAGTATCTCACTAGCACATCAAATAGCCCAAACTGGCAAAGCAGTTTGGTTTTCAGTACCCAATTATCCTTATCTTTACATATACTGCATGCAATTCTGATTTGGCTTTCTTTTCCTTTTCCTTTTCCTTTTCCTTTTCCTTTTCCTTTTCCTTTTCCTTTTCCTTTTCCTTTTCCTTTTCCTTTTCCTTTTCCTTTTCCTTTTCCTTTTCCTTTTCCTTTTCTTCTTTCCACTCATGCCCTCTCCTCTCCTGAATCCATAATAGATAAACCTTGTCCATCACATACCTGGTCCTTGCACTTTCCCTGAACATTAAAACCTGTGTGTTTAACCTCCCTTTCCCTCCAGAGTGCTGGAGAGCAAGCACAGCCCCCACAGTAACGTCCAGTTTAGACTCCGGGATGTTTGACAATTAGCGATGCACTTGCAGAGGAAGATGAGTGGATCGGATGCTTTGGGAAAACATTCGCGCTGAGGATTGTGCTCCTCGGCCGTGCATGGCACAAAGGCTTTTCTCCAGAGGAATTCTACCTGAAATAAAACCTATATTGATTTTGTAGTTCCAGGACTCTGTATCAAAGGTGTAGCCCACACCAAGCTGTGGCTGCTACAGTTGTACACCCCTCTGAGATGGCAGAGGGTCCTTTTATTTTGCAAACAAACCACTAAAACCAGTAAAACATTTGTACTGTTACTACTAACAACAACCACAGATGCCTGTATCATAGAGAAAGAAAGAGCTGGTGGTGACTAATACTGTCGTGGTGTGCAACACAGGTTGGTGTGCAAGCAAAAGTAATGACAACAATTACTTTTTGCTTCAGTATTCAACTTCTGTGTGGTCTGTGTCTCTTTTCAGGATATGAACATGATTTCTTCTCCCAAATACTCATTAAAACTACTGGTGCTGAGGAGACCAGAATAACTTCACTCCTGATTGATTAGTTGCCAGCATTATGCTGTGAAATTTTAACTAGAAAGGATTCACCAGCACTGGATGAAATTGTTTGCCATATTAAATATTCTCTGAGTTGTCCCCATTGACAAAGGGAGCGCAATGTGCAGATGCTGCAATAGTCTATGGTGTTTCTGTGCACACATGGATGCACTGCAGCTGATGAGGGCTTTGCTGGATAGAGATCATTTGGCTCAAATGATCCTTGTGGGACAATATTTATATAAACTGTATGATCATTTGTCACAGAAGTATTCCTTAGCATGAGGAATTTCATCATTTCATCTCCTTACAGTTTTCTAAAGGACTGGGACCAAGTGTACGCATTTCTTTCAAATTTCCCTGTGAAGATTTTTATCTTTAAGATCATTTAAAAGTCTTCTCAAACAGATACTCTGCCTTTAAGGGCCAGTTAATGTGGTTGATTTATAAAGTCTTTTGACAAGTGAAAAGGCAAAGCCTTCAAAACATGCCCAAGGTTCCTTCTGCCAGCAGGCATTGATGCTGTGAAAGGCTCCAGACAGCCAAGGCAAAATGTGCCTTAGGAAGCCTGAACTTAAGCATCAGAATGAATTGAAATAATTACGGATTATTATTAGTCCAGCTTTGGATTCCAGTGCTTCCAGCTTCTGCCATAAGATGGTGCAGAGTTGTGGCTCCAGCCTAGGGACCAAAGCCAGGGACAGGCTATTGCCTTGATGCTGGCACATAGCAGAGTTGCTCTGGTGTTGCTGGCTTTGGGGATCCTATTCCAGGCCTCAGCATCACCTAAGCTAGAGAAGGGAATACACAGGCTCACTTGCACATCTTTCTCTCCTGCTCACACCTGTGCTGCTGAAATTATTGAGGGCTTTGCTGTAGACCTTCATCCTTTGCATAACAAGAACGTGAGTAAGTTTGGGTGGGGGCATTCTGGTTTTGCAGCCCTCCATCCTTAGAGGAGAAAGCTAAAGGTCAACCATTTAGGAAAAGTGAAGGGCTGTCACACAGGGACAAACCCACAGATCCCGACAATGAGAACTGGTAGAACCCACAACACAGGTTGTTATAGGAGTCAATGGGTCTGTGCTGAGGGATCTCAGCAGAGCTGAGTGCCCTTTAAATGCTGTGCCTTGTCTGTACTAACCTTTGTTTGGTCTGTCTCTCTCACCTGGCAACTCCTCTCCTCCCCAACCCCTCTGCGCTCTGATACAGATGGCTATAAGGAATGACTCTCTGGATAGCAAGGAGAATCTCCACACCGAGGTGAGTGAACTCTCTGACCCAAATGTTCCCACTGTGCCCAAGGAGGAGTCACCAGTGGCTCTGATGCCCTCAGAAGTGAATGAGTTGGCTGCCTGGAGTCGGGCGAGCGTCCATACACAGCAGCATTCCCACAATCAGTATAATATTTCAAAGCAGGCACCAGCATCCTGTGCTTGTGCAGACTCGTATCAGGAGACCCCTGAAGATTCAATGGACCAAGAAGCATCTGAAATAAACAGCTCCTCGGAGCCTTTCACTTCAGAAACTTGCACAGCCTTGAGTGCCTGTTCGGAGGGTCAGCCTCTCACACCTAAGAGGAACATGGGCAATACTGGCAACGTGATACTGAAGGACCTGAAGAAATATCACAGTGTAGACACCCAGGGTCTGCTAAAAAAACCGCCCTCTTGGTTAGATGATCAAAGGAGACATTCAATAGAGATTTGTTCCATAGAAAACAGCCCTCAGCACCATTCCACGTCCAGCTCTTCTGGCTTTATAAGTCAGGTGGTCAGTGAAATGGAATGCTTGCAAGGTACACGGCAGAAGAAGAAACTGAGCCCTCCTTGTATATCTATAGATCCACCTGATGGGCAGAGTTTGGTACCTAGGGGACCCCACAGCATCTCACCTGCCAGTGGAGACGTTTGCTTGAGGAGGCGTGCTCCATCCTGTGAGTCCAAGGATTCAGTGGATATAGGGGATTCACTGCTTCCAGACAGTATGTCAACATCTCCTACCCCAAAGAAAGACTTGTTGACACTTCCTAGCTTTTCCTTTGATCAAACAGAAATGGACCCCTGAGTTACTTTTCTGTTGGTGCCAAATGTCTTCTTCCTTTCATGTAATAGAAAAAAAATCATAAAAACTCTGTACTCCAAAATGGCACTGGGTAAAAAATTTCCAAAGAAAGATTAAAGAACCAGCTGGTTAAAAGAGTGGTTAACCTATATCACGCTTACTTAAGCATATGTTCTGCTTAGGTAAAAGCAATACAATGTGCAGAATCTATATGTATATTATATTTTATTAAATTAATTGAATCTAGTATCATGGGATGTAGTACATTTTGTCACTAAAGACTCATTTAATTTTCTTCTATTTTATGTATCTCGGAATATTTCTGAGATAAAGTTGGTTTTTACAAATATTTTAACCTAAAAAGTATATATTTATTCCCTTCTCGTTTTGTTTTGTTTTGTTTGGGTTTCATTTTGTTTTGCAAAGCACAAAATGTAGCTAATTAGTGCGTTACAGAGGAAATGTATCCCACTGTCAGCAGTAAATAAGGATTATTTAATGTAATATATTTTTCCCCTTGAACTTCTATGATATTCTGGGAAAACAATTGTTTGTGTAGTACAGAAAAGCAGTTGCAATTTTTTAACAAAATATTCCAATCTTGCATAAAATTGACATTCAGAGTATGAAAGCAAGTGCTCAGACCCAGGAAGGTCCAGGATGCTGATGTCTGAAGATGGTGAAGGCAGAGCCATTTAACAGTACAAGATATTGAATTATGAAAGGATCATAGTGGATGTTATAGATCATCCACTGGCAACTCACAAAATCATGTCAATGCTTAATTTTCATGCATTCCTAGGAAACAGACAACAGACGCCTGTGGTCACTTCCAAGATGTTTTTGCAGTGTTTCCAGGATGGACTTTTTATTTTGCTGGGTTTTAGACCTCCCTCATCCCTCTGTTTTCAGTGGAGCTCCTTCTCTCTGCACTCTGTGGAAAAGAGAGTGAGATCAAGTTTAAGACTTGCAGTGGGTGAAATCAGGGCAGACATGGCACAACAATAGGCTTAAGCACATGCCCAAAGTTAAGCTCTTGCCTAGAATGCCTGGAGGTTGATCACATTAAAGTAATTCCTGAAAATTAAAATCATATGCTCATGTTCTATTGAATCAAGGCACTTCTGCAAGTTATTTTACAGAAAGTCTGCAGGTACCGAAATGACTACTGGTTTTCAGTAAAATAGCCAGGTATTTTGCTATCACTGCTAGAGTTAATTTACATGACCCCAACTGCAATTTTATTTCCAATCTATCAATAGCCTTAAGCAGCAACATGATGATACAAAGTGGATAAACCCAGAATTCATGTCCTTACTTTACAACATCAATCATCTCAAAAATTACCTGTTTACTCCTGTGCTAATGTCCTCTGCCAAAAGCAATCTGTAAAACTGGACAGCACAGCCTGAAAACCACTCGAGGTTGGCCCCATTCGACACCTCATGACTGATGGAAGCCAGACATTAACTCCACTCCACTTCCATGAAATCACATTAAGATGTAAGCTAAATTAGACTGCAGGCATGCTTTGAAGTGTGCCAATAGTCAGAGGCTTGAAACCAAGTCCACAGATCATGCCAGCACAGGCAGGAGGAGGATTTGTGCTAATTCTGTCAGTCGGGAGTTTGTAAATTTTGACAACTACCAATCTTTGCAAATCACTACAACATGCTGATGTACAGCCTTTTATCCATTCAGAAATTAGGCTGTTTCCACCACGTGTATCTACATTAGCTTGGAGTGTACACACAAGGAGAAGATGCTGTTCAAACCCAACAGCCTATGTGAGGCCCTAGGCCCCTTTATTTTCACTTGAGGATGTTTACTCCATAAACAATCCCTACTGATTTACATGTCCACGAGAAATGTAAGGGCTTTCAGCAGGAAGTCAGGCAATCAGTGTATTTGAAGTAGGAGGATTAACATTCTGTACTATTTAGTGCAGTTAGATTAATTCTTGGCTGGGACATTTTCCCCCTCTTCACCACAGGCCCATACAGAGCCCGCTCTCTTTGATATGCCAGCCCAAATCCAGAGTTAAGCCTGTCTAAAGCAATGATTTCAAACAAACCTTTCATCACTTCTTCCCCCAGATCATATTTAAGGAAATAATAAAATTACAGTGCATTAAGCCTGAGAAATATTCTTAATCCCTTTTTGGTTTTACACCCAATAATGAGCCCTAGCTTTTCCTTTTACATGTGCTAAATAGCTTGGGAAACTAGCTAGGCCACTAAAATTGCCATCCCTGGTACCTCAATGATTAGGATTGTGTTCACATAGCTGGAATGATACTACTTTTCCGATCCTTTCTTACAAAAAACCCACTGAACATTTTAGCTTGAAATCATGGCACAAAGCAGTGATGTGACGTCAGTCCAAATGTTCAACTCCAAACGTAACAGAAAGCCTAAAGGCTCTTCTATTTTAATCCTTGGGTTTTTGCCTACTGACAAGGTTTGTGGAAGTAAAAAAAAAGTTTACATCATACATTAATATTCAGTAAAGACTAGCAAATAAAAGATACTCTATGATGATGCTTTCAGGAAAATAATTACATGTAAAATAGATTGTTTTCTAAACCAGATAAGTTTTTTCTAGATGCCCTTTTGAAACACAAATACAAATGTACTGCAGCACATGCAATAATACTCAAATAATTTTAAATACCTTCGGGAGGGTTTTATAGAATTTGACTTTTTTAAACAAAATGTACAAAATCCACAGGAATTCTGTAGAATGGTTATGTTGATAGAATTTTTTATATTTTTGTAGAAATCTATAGAGAAATTGTTAAAAGTCTGCGCTGCATCTTGGCAACAGAAGCAGCTCTTACCTTCGAGTTTCTTTTCATAAACCTGGAGCAAGGCCTGCTCTGTTACAACATGCGGAGCATAGTTTCATAGCCTGCATCCAGGTTGTGTTCGGGAGTCAGCAGCTAAGCTGAAGTTCCACAATATTGCAGTGCTATTTACTGTCCAAGAACTGTACCCACATAAAACACACCCCCATCTCCCCCCAAAGCTCAGCCCCTGTCCATGGTAAAGTAGTTGCATGGCTCTCCAGCTCATTCAAGCACACCAGCACTTTACTACTGTAGATTTACTGTATGCAGATGGGAGGAGGATATTTTGTTATTGCCAATCTGACACAATGGGGGAAAAGAGACTGCAGACGTGTCTGGAAAAACATAAATTCTGTTCTTGCAGCCCCTAGCACATAGAAGTGATTTTTCAAAACTTGGTTAGAGGTTTGTACTGTAGATATTTTGGAGGAGGACAAAGAACACTGTTTTTGACTTCTGTGGATTTCACTCAGCACTAGGTGTATTCAAGGAGAAAATAAAAAACAAGAAAAAAAAACCAAACACCAAAAGCATTACCACTGTAAATTAGGCTATGCCCAGTCTCCCCTTTTCTACCCCTTTGGCTATAATAACCTATGTACACTATTACACAAGGTGAGTAGAGTAGGTGCAGTACCATAGCAATGTCCATAACAACCTAGTATATATGACAGAACTTTGTATTTAATAGTTAATATATTGTTATACTGTATCAGGTATATCGGCCAAAACAAAGTCTTTTGGTTGGGGCAACAAAAGGTGGTACTCATGGAGAAAATTGGATTTGGATTTGAGAATTGGAAAAAGGATAGGATTTTTTTTTTAAGAAAAAAAAAAAGAAGAAAAAACAAGTGTAAATCTTTACAACTGACAAAAACAAATGTGTCCTATTAAAAGCTTTTGAAAATAAAAACAACGGTGCGTTTCCCTTTTTTTGTTGTTGTTGCTGATGATAATCTGTATCACTCCAGGCAGTCAAGTCTTTGGTCATGTTTTAATTGTGAACAGTTGGAGAAGGTATCAGATAGCAGCGGCAGCCAGGAGGCTGGAAGGAAGATTGGGAAATGATGGCCCTTTGTGGAACAGTTTAATGTGTCTGCAAGCAAATCTGGCCCTGGACACTGCCCAGGGTGTGCAGAGTGACCAGCAAGATGATCGGCTGTGCCTCTGTGGATCCCTCTGCCCTGGCAGGAACAGCCCTGTGCAAGGCTTGAGGATGTGACGACTGCAGCAGAGAGAGCTGCAGTCAATGGGGAGAAAGGACTGAGGAGAAGGGACAGATCCAGTTTGTCTGTGAAGAGGAAGATGCTGGATTTTTCCACTCATTCACATCTTTGGGATTTCCAGCCTGAAATCCAGCAGCATTTCCTGCTGTCATTTAACTCTTTGCAAAGGAGGAGTTGGTGGGCATGGCGCTGCCTGGAGGCTGAAGGGCAGCAGGGGCTCAGAGCTCAGGTACTGCTTAGGTATCACCAGAACATTTCATAGAATGGTTTGAGTTGGGAGGGACCTTAAAGCTCATCCAGTCCCACCCTGGATGAGGGTGGGACTGGATGAGCAATGGGCAATGACGTCTTCCACTATCCCAGGCTGCTCCAAGCCCTGTCCAACCTGGCCTTGGACACTTGAAGGGATGGGGCAGCCACAGCTTCTCTGGGTAACCTGTGCCAGGTCCTCCCCACCCTCACAGGGAAGAATTTCTCCCTACTGTCTAACCTAAACCTGCCTGCCTTCTGTTTGAAGCCATTCCCCTTTTTGTCCTGTTGTTACAGGACTTTGTTAAAAGGCTCTTCAGAGGTTTTTAGTGAATGACCTGTGTAGCTGCTGACATGAAATCTCCTCTCCCCTGGGAAGCAGCCACTAGAGGGAGGAACCAGACACTGGGCACTCTGCAGCCCTGCTCTTCACTGCATGGAATGATCTGATTTCTCTGCAGCAGGAGAGACCCTAAATTGACACCCAGACCAGTTTTGCTGTCTAGAGGATGTTTTGATAAAGTAATCTCTCAGTAGAAAACAGCAGGAAGGATACTAGTCCTTAAACAGAGGGAAAATGTGGATCTGTTCAAAATCCAGTGCAAATCCACACCACGTGAGCTCTGTGATATGTCTGTGTTGTCCGGGCTGCGGGGCCAAACGCACCAGGCTGGAACCAGTGAAATGCCTTCCCAGCCCTCCGGTCCGGGAGGATTCACAGGGCATTAAGGTAAGAGCTGAGCCAAGGAAGCAGAGCCTCCTACAGGCTCAAGCACTTCACACCCCTCTGCTCTCAGGTGAGTTCAGTTCCTTATGGGCAACAACAAATCACTCCCTTTCCAACATCGGGGTCCAGAGGAGCTTGTGAGAGGGCTTGTTTCTCTTCTCTGTTTCATGAGTGTTCCTGTATGAAGCTCTCCTGC